GAAATACCTCATAACATAAATAATAAAAGTGTGTCTCTATAAATCACGGAACTACCATAAGTAGGCCGGACCGACTAGCAGGTTATACAACTCCAATCTAAAAGAACTGACATAAAGTGTCATGGACAATCCCCATGCTCACTCAAATAAGGCAACAAGCTCAACATCAGGCTCAACAACAACATAATCATAAATAGCGGAAAACATAAACAGCATCCAAATCCAGTCATGGCAGCAATACAACATAATATCATAATCACCTAAGCTCTGGCCTCCTGCCGCCAGAGGCATCAGTCACCATACTACCTGAACCTGAAATAAGCATTCCCTAAACGTGGGGTGAGATCTCTAAACAAGAAATCTCAGTAAGACAAGGGGTCATCAAGGATCTTCCACCCCAAGCTCACTTACATGTGCAATATAAGTTTAAAAGCAGTTCATCAATATCATTTCTAAAACAGTGCAATGCAGCAGATAATCATGTCATGTGTGTCAATTCTATTCTACTGGCCAGAGAAATGCAGGATTTATATACGCCAAATACCCACACATAGTGCAAGACGCCACTTGCATTCACCCCGGATCACCATATCGTATGACGCCACATACTCAAGCTTACCATCAAGATGAAACAACACATGCATATTAAAAGCCATTACACATAAAGCTCAACAACATTTCAAATATTCAAAGCATGTAACGCAACATGCATATAACCACACCCCAATGGGACATGGTGGAACCACAACATGGCTAAACCGAGGACACGAAAGCTTACCTTGCAAGCTAACACCCAAGGCCAAGAGTCCACAGCTCAAAGTCCAAACACAGCAGATTCACAATCTGTTATGGACCAACAATATATCAATAACATGCACCGCAAGCATACAATATTAAGACAACGCCTTTCCATTACGTTTTACGTCTTAAGGCTCCATACCAAGCCATAAGCCCTTAATCACTTGATTTTGACTTACTTCATTAATTACAGAAGTTCAACTTCATCAATCTAGGGTTCACAAACCCCCAATAGCCTACTGTACACACAGCACAACTATTGTTCAACAAAATCCCAGAATATCCGGATATTCCACGGGGCATATCCGGATATGCAATATCCGGATATCTCACTGACCATATTCGGATATCCAATATCCGGATATTCAGATTCCCATATCCGGATATCCAAATCCCATATCTGGATCACATATCCGGATATCCAAATCCCATATCCGGATATCACATATCCGGATATTTCTCGGGAACATATCCGGATATTTCACGACAGAATGCAGAAACTGCATTTCGTGAAGATATCCTTCCAAGGTTCCATTTTTAACACTTTTAAACGTTAAAGCATGCATCTTTATACTGTTTAAGGGTCATACCACTATTGGTTACTTGTTTAACTCTTTAAACATGCAAAGACACTTCTTTTATTCAACAAAACACATGATCAAGGTTGGTACAACTCACCAAAGCTCAAAACAGAGGAAGAAGGCTCTTGGAGCTCTCAAATCTGCCTCTACAGGTCTGACCATCAAGGCACATGAAAATGACTTCACAAAGGTTGGTTCTTTCTCACCAAAGGTCACCACTTGGTACTCAAAGTGTCATAACCAAGGCTCACAACATTCAACTCACAAACTCAGAACCTCTCCACCTCACTCACAGTGACAAGAACTCAAAAAAGCCCTCACACTCCCACACCAAGCAAGCTCTCACAAGCCCCAAGGTATTTGGAGAAGAAACCAAGGAGAAAGGAAGCTCCTTGGCTCACCATAATGGAGGAGAAGGTGGAAAAGGGTGGCTGGAGGTGTTTCAGAACATGGAGGCACGTAGGAAATCTGGTCTAGGGTTTTGTGCCCAATGATTAGAGTATATATAGCCACTTTCAATTAAAACACACAATATTAAATTTAATTGTTACGCTTAGCATTTTAATCCCAAACTCTGGATTATTAACCTACTCAATTTTACAAGAATTATCATATTTTTCTTATAATTTTCAGAGCACCTTTCCGGTACGCGCTTTTCAAAGCCAGTACCGGTTTCTAGCACCAGTTCTCATTATTTGGACTTGAAACTCGTTTTACAAGTCCTACATATTATTCTAGTAATTATCATGAACTTATTATAATTTTCTGGGATACTTTTTTGGTACGCATTTATACCGACTAGCAGAACCGGTATCTGCACTTTTCTTCCGAAAAGCGACTTTCAGCATTCTTAATCACTTACTATAATTATTAAAGCGTCATAATAATTGTTAGGGTCAATTATGGAATCATTTCCTATTTTCTCATAATGTATTAATTAAATTCTTTAATTAACGGTGCGAGTTCTTACATTCACCCCACCTTTTTAGGTCAGGCCTATGTAAAAAATATTGGGACTGGCTTGACCTGTTAGCCTGTGTAGGTCCCAAATTACAAGTTTGACCTGACCTATATTTAAAAAATAAAAGCCTTGGCCTAGGCCTATCAGCCTGTTTAAGCCTATTAAACATTCAACAATGAAAAGAATAACTAAAATAATATTACTTTATTATTTAAAATTATTAAAATAATAATTTTATTTATTTTATTTAAAATAAATAATATGATATAGGCCGGCCTGTAGGCTTATAGGCCCGACAAGTACACAAAAGTCTATGGCCTGTTTTCTAAATAGGTTTTTTTAAAAGCCTGAGCTTATTCTATTTTACTATTTATAATAGGTCAAGTGTGGCCTAATATAGGCTAGACCGTAGGCCCCTGTAGATCAGCCTAGCTCATTTACACCCCTACACATGGCTCAATAACGAGGGTGAACCAGCATATGAGTTTCATCTTGTTACTTATATACGGGCATTGATGGACACATATACGGGCATGGATGGACAGAGATTGGCAAGTGAAAATAAAGCATACCTATAGAAAGGGAAATTTTTGTGCTGATTGGCTTTCTAATCTCCCTCTAGTTCATCAAGATCATGAAGATTTCTGTGATTTTTTGACCTCTCCCCTTGATATTTATTTGCTTTATTTAGCTGATTTAGGTAGTGTTTGTAGAAACAAGTGTATTTATTATTCTTAACCTGTGTGGGGTCTTGTCCCATACAGGATACCAAAAAATAAAATAAAATTATATTACTAATTTTTTTTAGAAATTATATTTTTCATAGTTTATGTTAGTAGTATGATAGTTTGCTACTGTAGAGCATATAAACTACTATCTTCTAATAAATAGAATTGAAGTTATAAGAACAATAGTTTAATTTTAATTGGGTTATTATCTTTTGTTTTTGCATAACAATGATTTGTGGTTTAAATTTATGATCTCATCATTAACCTATTTCTAATGACTTGAGTTAAAGTTAATATTCAATTAATTTATTTTAAAATTATAATGAAAATTTTGAGTTATTTAGAAGATCATTAATGACATTTATTACAATTAATATTCATTTGGAACAATTGAGTTAGTACTAAATGTATATATTTAAATCGGGTGATTAATTCAGTAATCATTGAAATTGATAACTTTTCCGTTTTATAAGCACCTCTCACTTACATATAAGCATTGGTCCAGTCACCTAAAAACTACGTCGTTTTGTGTGGGATAAAAGAAGTTCGCGTTCAAAATTAATTATATAAAATAGAAATATTATATTTATTTCTATCTTTGTATGGTTATAATTCTCCATAATTAATGCTTTATATTTATTTCCACTTTTGTATGGTTATATTTCTCATATTTAATGCTTTCACACTGTAAAACGGCGTAGTTTTATATGACTGCACTAATCCTCAGGTGGAGTCACTGTACATCCGCTAAACCCTATATATATATATATATATATATATATATATATATATATATATATATATATATATATATAGGATCCTTTGACGCTGATGTCAAAAATCTTATCCTATATATATATGGAGCATGTTATATTTACAAAATTTTTTGTTTACAAATTCTTACAAACTATACTATCTTCTCTCGGGAGAACACTAGTCATGCTATCTTCTCCCGGGAGAACATAGTGCAATTTACAAAAATTTGTAAAAAAGATTTGTAAACAGATTCTTCTTATATATATATATATATATATATATATATATATGAGATAGGATACTTTGACACCAGTGATCTTACATGTTTGCAAATCAGAGTCGTTGATCTTTTTTGATCTAACGGCTCTCAAATGAGGTGTCAAATTTCAAATTTGACACTGGTGTCAAAGGATCTGCCTCTATATATATATATATATATATATATATATATATATAATATTAATTTATGTTGGTATAAATGTTATATTTAGTCTTAGTAATTGGTTTTACTTAAATATAACGGTTTTTATTAAGATCAACATCTATATTATTAATTATTAAAATATAAAAATTTTAATTTCAAATTTGGTTAACTTAGAAACTTATTAATCAAAAGTATTTATTAAATTCTTTGAAAGAATTAATTTATATTTATAAATAATATTTTAAAGACAAATATAAAAGAATTGTATTTGTTTAAATAAGATAAAAAAAACCACTGTTAAAATTGAATTTATTTAATAACTCAATAAATTAATATACGTAATTAAATTATGTAATGTGAAAATTATGTAACCGATGAATAATATAAAAAAAATCAGGGATACTTTTGTGTTTGCATTGAAATTTTCATAGCAAACAAAAAGTGTAAATATAATAAGAATTAACTACAAAACAATCTTAGCTAGCAGAGGTCATTGGCTTCCTCAACCGATAACCTTCTTAGATTAGCTACCCTTATATGCAATTTGTTCAATTAGAATGCCACTTTGGTTAATGGTTGTTTTAGCCACTAACATTCATTACATTACATATATCTATACACACACACAATTTAGTTGGCAAAAGATTTAACCAATTCGAACCATTATTCAATGTCACATACATTTGGATAGTTACAAACTTGAAGAAGAGAGATTAGTCTAAATAAAAACAAGTTCCAAATTCCATTTTATTCTAAGGTGCAAATTTGTGGCTGCAAATAACTTTACACCTCAAGACCCTATCCTGAACATAGAACCCTGGCATCACCATGATCTTAACCTTGCTTGGACCTTGTGACCTTTGCCTATCAGTAACCATATCTTCCATGTATTGAGCATCAAAGCTTCTACTCTCTTCAACCCTTAAAATTCCCAATGGTGGGTTGAAAGAAAAGGCCAACAAATGTAGCAACCATATGCATTTTGCTGCCACGAAGAAAGCTTGAAGGAGTTGCTCAGGCCAAGGCCTAGTCCAATTTAGTGTTGAGATGATACAACTCATTTTCTGGTCACAGAACTTGCTGAATTCTTCACTGTAATATTTTGTACCTTTTCTCAGTACCTCGTTCCAGCTCAAATTCCTAAGTGCAGCGAATGAGGAGAATTGTGCTTGGCGATCCTGTCTTGGGTCTAAAAATTTTGTGCAGCCATTCTTTTGGAACACACAATTCTCAAAGTCTTGGTAGAGAGATTGGTTTATGAAAGCTTCAAAATGGTATAGAACAGCCTTTGAGTATTTGGAATTCAAGGAGAGCCTATAAGGTTGAAGAAGCAAGTTCAAGTTTTCAACCAAAGAATGATCGGTTTCTTCAATTTGGCATATAAGGGTCTTGCAGAATTGCTTCACTGATAACCTTGATTCAGATACCATCTGCAAAAAGCCCTCAACCATTACATCCTCACCCACAGGCATCAGATTTTCTGCATTCCCATCAGAGGATATTCCTCTATGGGGATGATTATTAAGCTTTTCACAAAGTGGGGTTTCTTTTGAATGCATTGTTTGCTTCAAAGCTTTCTTGAGCTCTTCACAGTAACTCTCCAAGCACTCCAGCTTTTGTTTCAGTTCCCCCAATGAGGATCTCATCTCAGAAACTTCCATTAATGCAGTGTCTCTTCTCTCGTTTGCTTCCATCAGCTCTCTCTTCAATGTCTCCATTGACATTACTCCCATGTCCTTAAGAACCTGAGAAACTTCCTCAGATTCTGTTCTGTTTGGGGAACTCTCATTATTATGCTTCTTCTTGAACCGAGGGAACAACCATGAAATAACCCCTTTACTTTTTGGTTTTGTTTGAAAAGATGCATGAGAATCCGTGAGGGGAACAACAATGTTGGAGCTCTTGTTGTTCCTTGTGTTCTCAAACTCGCTAGTTATGACAGCAGGTTTGCATCTATTGCATGACGATACGGGCTTCAAGTCCCCCAAACTGTTTCTCCTTGTGGATTTGAAGTAATCATTAGTAGCAGGTGATGTTTGAAGAACAGTAATGTTATTTGCACAAGAACCAGTCACAGATTTGCTATCATCAGCAGAACACAAGTGAGATTCTAGGTTAGCAAAACCAAAAGGTAGTCCCTTTCTTGAACTTGATTTCTCCTTGTAATCTGAGACCATGGTTTCTATGTTGTTTCCTCCTCCTACCCCATTCTCATCCCAGCTTTCTGATATTGTTCTTGGGTTTTGATATGGGTCATCTTCATAGCTCTGTGTCAATGTCAATGTCAATGTCAATGATTCTCACAATTTGGAAATTAATTGTCCATCATAAAAGCATGATCTATGTTTCCAAATGAGATGAATGAGTCAATAATAAACATCGTTGTTGTGTTCTTAAAAGTTCCATGAAAAGCAAGATAAAGCAAAAAGTCCTAAAAAGTTTTTTTTTTTTTTTTTTTTTTAAGGTCAAACTCAAAACTCAAAACTCAAATGAATGCTTTGAGTTTCATGCATACTTTAGCAACAGAACAGTTCTTTAATACGTTGAACAAAATAGCAGTGTTGATATGAGTGACAAATTCTGGATACCCAGTTCAGCGAGGAAGTGGGAAACCAAAGTTGAAAGCTAAAAACATAAAGAAAAGTTAGTTATTCTTACTGGTGTGAAAACAGGGTAATCTTGAGCAGAGAACTGAGAAGCAGAGCGTGATGCAGAGCGTGAAGCAAGGGAAGGAGATGGGTATCTAGCAATGGCAGGGCCTGGGCTTGGGCTTGGGCATGGGCTATTTCCTTTTGTTAATGCAGCATGAATTGCCCTTAGTTCCACTGCTTTGGCTATGGCGGTTTGGATTTCCTGCCTGCTTATTTCATGGTTGCCATTGTTGCTGTCTTTGTTATGGTCTTGGAAAATTGGTGCGGTGGTAGCAGTTGCAGCCATCAAACACAACAGAGGAAAGAACAAAGTGAAGCAAGCATGTAAATGCCGAGAAGATAATATGTATTGTGCACTAGAATATTGATATACTCGGGAATTTTTATCGACAAACCGAAAAAGAACAAAAATGGATGAACATAAGTGATATCCAACGGTTGGATTTGATTTGAAGGCTTATTATATCTATGACAGGAATAGGATACTGTAGAACCATAAAATAGAAAAGGGTCATCTCAAACCTAATTAGCTTTGTCTCTGTTATCATAGGAAAATTAATGGCGTCGGCGCATGAGAGAGAGATTTTTTATTTTTTTTAACACACATACACCAAAACACAGTTAAAATCAATGTTATAATGATCGATTATGGTGAACCGGTCATATAATTGATCTCATTTTTATATGGGACTGAATTAGTGTGACGTGATGTGATCGATTTTCGTAAAAATTGATGACCCGATCTGATTTGTAGAAGAAAAAAATTAGTTTGTTCTCAACAATATTAATGTCTTTTTTTTTTTTCACTCTCAAACATAAATGATTTATTTTTCTTTTGAAATATTTGAGTGATTTATAACTTATTAATTTACATAAATTATATCCCTACAATATTAATACTATCTTGGTTATGCAATATGCAAGAAATTTTGATATATAGTTAGAGATGTCTGAAACACCATTATCACAAATATTATATGTTTATCTTTTGTTAGACAATAATATGTAATTTATTATTTTTATATTAAAATATTTAAAATTAATACCACTTTTTTACAAGTATTTAAGTATATTTATAATTTTTTTAGTATAAATTTTAGATTTACATATACTTATCGGATTATGCGATTAAAATAGTGATCCACTAGTTGAATCAATAATCCAGTAATCTCATACCTCGATCGGATCAATAATCGAGTCGAGTTTAATAATATTAATTAAAACACTTGACATAAAGTTATGTTGTTTTAGATGACAAATATTTTTTCAAGAAAAAAAAAGCAGTTTTAACAATATTTATTATTTAGTTACATTTGATAACATCTCATTATTGATACCCTCTCATCACATTCTGATTTCATCACTCCAATGGTGTATCTTACAGCAAGCATTTTTCTTTTAACTCAAAATGTGTTTAAACTTTAAACAGATGTTTCCAAAAAAAAAAAAAATGTGTTTAAACTTTAAACAGCAGAGTGTGAAGCCAGTTTACCAAAATGCCCACGTGTTGCAAAAGTTACCAGAAAGCAAAAGCAGAATTAGGAGGTATTGCTTTAGAAGCAACATAGGAAGTTTCGTTCACTGTGTTGCCCCACCATATCTAAGGTTAAGTAATTTAGCTTTCAAGTTGAGGATATTGTCAACAAAATGTTGCTTTAGTACTCAGTTGCACCGTGTGTAATCATGACCTGAGTGTGTTGCTTTATGGAACTGTGTTCAAAAGGCCATCAAATATTTCCCTTACCCTAATGTGTTAGGAGGAGTTTGGTGAACGGCCTAATTAAGCTCGGTGAATTTTCATTTCCATAAGAAAACATGTTTCTTTTTTTTTTGAAGGACAACATGTTTCTTCTGTTAAGTGATAATAAGTTTGGATTTTTTTGGTACCAAGTATTAGAGTGCATGGAAAGGGGCAAAATGATAAAATGATTACACTTATTTATTATTTGGCATGCACTTGTAAATAGAAACAAAATATTAAAGGAAAAGGAAATAAATAAAACAACTTTTTAAGTCTCATTATATATTTACATAAATTTTTTATTTTTTTTATAAATTTTCATACCAAACAAATAGAAAAAACTTTTTAACTAAATGATGCTAAATAAAGAGATAGATAATTCGCTTACAAAAAAAAGATAGATAATTCATATACTCCTCTTTTCTCTTTTCTTTTTTCTTCATAATAGCAAACAGACCCTTTAAACTTGTCATGCTCATCCGTATCAATCACTTTCTCACTTGGTTAGGCATTCTCGGAATATGAGCCTAGAACCTTTAAGAAATTTCTTTTCTTGTATTATATGCCAATTGCACATGGTATAACATAAGCTTCGTTGTTATTTCTTTTTTTTTTTTTCATGCAAACGTGGTGACCCTTCATGAAGTTTAAGATGGTAAACCTGACCATCAAACCAAAGGGCACTGGGAATTTTCAAAATGTAAAAACCACTTATCACAATTATGGAATTGACCTCAAATTGATTGATCTAAAGGCGAACACTTATGTCAATTGGGAAATTAATCTTATATTAAAATGCATTAAAATCTTAGGCTTCTATGTTTTCTTTTGCAAATCCATGGTTATATAGTTAGTGTGGCTGGGGTCAATATCGTCTAACTACAAAATCGAAAGAAAAAAAAATTAATATTGAGAGCCACGCAATGGTTCAGATTTTTCGGGCGAAAGGGGAAGAAAAATAACCAAAAGGTCCAAAAACTTTACAGACAATGAATCTTACAAGACAGGGTGCCCCAATGGGGACCAACTGTGATCGTAGCATCTTTTAAAATTACAGAAATCCCGTGTCATGCCATTTACAAATAAAGTCTCCACAGGGTATTTTTGGAATATGGAGAATATTTCTTGTTTGGAGTGTGGTACCCTTTTATATAATTGGAATTGGAATTCCATGTAGGACAATACAATTATTTAATGAGGATTCCTATGTCACTCACGATGACCACCATTTTTCTCGCAAAAGTCGCTGTTTAATGGAAATTAAGATCCCTAAACCCAACCACCTATTACAGTTAGTAAGATTTGTCCAACACCCACATGCAAAAAGTGTCCTTTATTGTTTAATTGATAGCATTGGGGCAGATAACTCAATTGAATTATGGTATTTTATATGTTAAAGGAATATATGTTAGGAAAATATGTTTATAATGTTATACAAGATAATTTGTCTTATTTAATATATAAAAAAAGTAAATAGAATCCATTTTTTTTATTTTTTATCTATTTTTCTTAATGGATTTTACCCATTTTTTTTTATATGTTGCAAAAATAATTTATTTTATACAATATGAAAAATATATTCCCAAAAAACTTAAGCATGTCGTCACGACCACTCGAAGAAAACATAGTAGGTAGTTTAGCTATCCTTTAGTAACACAGACGTATTTGGTTTTGACTATAAAATGGATGTAGTAGTTGGGAAATGTTTAGTCTTCTCCTAACCACCAAATATGTTTTTTGTTCCTACCAAACCGAACTTTATCTATTATCTGATCTTCATATTTTTGTAATAACAAATGATAAGTTCCTTTGACATCAATTTAAAGTGTAAAACTGCAATCATTAATTAAAAATTATTGCTAAGATAAATGAAAAACATATATATATATATATATATATATATATATATATATATATATATATATATATATATATATAAGGGCAGGATATTCTTACACCAGTGTAAGAGTTAAAAATCTTACACTCAATCTTAATCATTGATCCACTTGTATCTAATGACTCATATTACTAAAAAATTAGAGCCCTTAGATATAAATGGGATCAACGGATGAGATTAAGAGTGTAACTTACACTGGTGTAAAATGATCCTGACCCATATATATATATATATATATATATATATATATATATATATATATATATATATATACGAGTATTATAGACAGAGGCGGACTTACGGTGTTGCATGTAAAAAAAAATAGTAGTTAAACATAGGAAGATTGAAAAGAAAAAAATAAACATAAGTCCAACTATAGTAGTTAAAATTGGGATCTTACCTAAAATCGGAAGGAGGATAAAAAATCATAAAACGTAAAAAAAATCGTAAAAGTGTTTGGAATTTTGATGAAATCGTTTTGATTAAAAAAATCGTAAAATCACATATTTAAATCGAGATTTTAACTAACATGGGCGCAACTCAACCAACTACTATAATTAAAAGCTTAAAGCTTAAACCCTATATATTTAAAATTTTCTTTAAAAAAATCTTTGCGGACGTTGCCCCCGAACTTTCGCCTTAAGTGTGCACACATAAACAAAATTTTCTGGGTCCGCTACTGATTATAAATTACAAAATTATGAAAATTTGCTCTATTAGTTCTTTAATCAATGGTTATAATTTCATATCTTTTATTTAATATATATATATATATATATATATATATATATATATATAGTTGAAAACGAGTCCAGCAATACCTTTAACATTACCAACTATGATGCAATGACATATTTAAAATCCAACAGATAAAAGTAGAGGCCACTCAATAGATTATGTCTAATTTTTTTTTTTTAAACTATTCTACTATAACCCCTAAGCTCCGTAAGATTTCAACAATAACTACAGCTAGTGAATAATTGAATATTACATATTTCTAATTTCTCCGATATTCTATGTAAATAATGGTTATCAAATGCGACGAAAATAGGATATATCAAAGCAGAATGGGATCAATCATGGCGAAAGGTATACATACTCGGGCAGGTACCTTTCTGTCTCTTCGTTAATAATTGATTTCATTAGCAAAAGAAATTAGAGATCTTTTATTTTATAATGACTTGGATGATGGAAGCCCTGTGATCCAGCCTTATCAAATCAAGAAAAACTAGCATGTTACCTTTTTCTTAATAACTTTAACTAGGGCAATCAGAGGTCTTACAAGCTTGAGTTATAAAAGGAAACCCCTCTTTGAAAACAAAGAGAGATAAGGAAATATGGGACCTGTGAGGTGGTCTAGTTTGTCACCTACTCGGAACATCTCAAAGCCATTAAACAATGTGGCATTGCACTAGAAATATAATGTTCAGCATCATACTAGAACAATTTCCATAAACTTGTTCTAGTAAAGTATTTTGTTTCCTTGCCCAACCTTGGAAACAGAACATGGGAATGTACCTCGGTTCCAGCTCTGTACTGTGCGTGAAGAACACTTCTCTTTCATTTTCACTCACAGTCACAGCCTAGCTTGAAAGAAACAAGTGATATGAATTTCGTGTCTCTTTCTGTGTAGCCTGATTAGAAAACTGAAGAAATGATAATGAAATTAATCAAACCAAGTACAAGTAATAATACTGCTACAAGCGTGGTTCTTTTTGTCTAGTATAAAATGACATCACCACGTATGTATCCTTTTATATATGGTTTCTCCTTAATAAACGTATCGCAATTTGCAAGCTGGAGCAGTTATTATGAAATTGAAGTTTATAAGTTACTTGGATTTTGTCCTGTTTTGGTTGTTACATTCCGGCAAAATCAGATTCCCCATTTCTGCTCTACCATTCTTTAATCTATCTTAAATTATTATCTTATGCTTTTTTGAATTGTTTATTTTAACTATACTTTTGTAGATCCTTTCTCAGTTAATTAGTCGGATAGAGTCAGAGAAGGTTGTGCTGCTTATGTTTCATGTTGTCAACAAACACCTGCCCCATGTTTACTGTTTCTCTTTCTCATGACTTGATTCCGGAGAATTTATATGTTTGTCCATGAATGATAGAATGTAACAAGTGAGAAAAACAAAATATGAGTGACTTAATTGATAAAATTCTCGGAAGAAGCTCACCTTCACATGCCACATGGGATAGTTAAACGTCAGGACTAGGAACTAGGAACAACATAATACATTGGCAGAAAATCAAGGGCATCTTGATTTGAATTAATTCGGTCTTTAAGACATTTTAGAATGAAAAGTAACGAGTTTGGTTTTGAATAGAGAACCTTGGTTAAATGTAATTGATTTTTAGTAAAATGTTTTTTTTTTTATTTCATACAAAATATTACCATTTTTTCACTACACAATTGTCAATTAATTTATCTGAACAGAAAATTGACCAAAATTTTATCTATATATATTATGACGAAATCTACTTATTCAAATAATAAATTTTATAGACTGATACTGTTGAATAAGTTTTTGTATAATGTGATTTTAATAATTCTCTCTGTTGAGTTATATGATATTATCTTGATAAGTACACACTAAATTTAAAATGAATTAGACGGTCTTAATTTTGTAATACTATTTGATTTGGATCTATTATATAAGAAAGAAACTCACTTGTAACAAGGTCCAACTCACTTGTGCGCGAGATGGCCACAAAGGCAATCCATCTCGCTACGACACGAGAGGTATGGACCCCGTCATGACTTGGCCACTAAGTCAATATAACTTAAATTGAAAAAAATTATCATTGTTGAAATCAGCAGCTTAGACAAGTTAGCTATAAACAGGAATTAGTGAAAGGATGGCCGTTTCTGCTTGCCGCCATTGCTACAGAACCTATTATGAGCATAGGCTTGCTCACTAAGAAATAGTCTGAGAGAGGCCTCCCCTCTCCACCAATCAACATGGACACCACCTCATGAAAGATGGTGTTAAACACGATGCTCAAGCACTATAAATACAGAAGTCATTGGCCCAAGTAGGATATCTCACTCTGAATATTTGAACCTCCATGGATATTAAACTGATTGAGCATCAGAGTGTCTTTGCAAGTACTCCACTCGCTCTCATACAACCCAAAGAAGCACAAGCATTGCCCAACCATTTTGCATCACACAACCTTATCTCGCCAAGCTTCCAAGCATCTCGGTAACATCTCATCAATCTTTTCTTCTCTTCATCAACATCCTCTTGACAATTACTTATTTTTAAAAAATGTGTGGTGGATCTAAATAAAATTATGCAATGAAATATTAGCTAATTGTTAAATTATACGAAATGTTATAAATTTGATATATCTAATGACAACTTTATTGGATTAATAACATTTCATATTCTTAAAAACATATAAGTACGGCAAATTTAACTCTTAAAACACATGAATTTTATTATGAAAAAGGGGAAAGTTATATTTACAAACTTTTTGTTTATAAATTCTTACCAACGACATTAAGTATGACCGATGATACTTCAATCAAAAGTGTATGACCGATCATACTTAGTTTAATTTGTAAAAAAAATTGGTAAACGAATCATTCCCCATAAAAAGAATTCACGTCATGTTTGTAACATGCGTATATTAATATAAAAAGAATTGTGCCTGTTTCTAAATATTATGTCAATAATTTATAAATATTTTAATTTTCTTTTTTTAAGATCCTCAGTTTTATAATTTTATAATTTTGCTCATAAATTGTTGTATATATACAAATTACTCTCTTCTAGCTACCAATGATCAATGAAATGTTGTTTCTTTCCATTTCTTTACAAATTATCTTCCATATATACGCACACTTTTTTTAATGAAATCTAATATCGTCAAGACGTTATCAATTCCATTCGGTTTGATTTATTTTAATTTGTATATATGAAAACTAAAATTCAAAAAACTTTCATAAAAGAGAATAAAAAAAATCTATTTGATTTGTTTTGAGAAATCCTTTCTCTACAGGTTGATTTGAGCAAATTTGATCTGTTTTCAGTAGGGTGTAAATAAGTTAGGCTAGGCTTTGCCTTAAATAGGTCAGATCTGTGTAAAAATATTAGGTGTGGCCTGGTCTATTAGCCTGTGTAGACCCCAATTACAAGTCTGACCTGACCTATATTTAAAAAATAAAAGCCTTGTCCTAGGCCTGTTAGCCTGTTTAAACATATTAAACATTAAACAATTAAAAGAATAACTAAAATAATATTATTTTATTATTCAAAATTATTAAAATAATAATTTTATTTATTATATTTTAAATAAATAATATGATATAGGTCGACTTATAGGCTAATAGGCCCAACATGTACAAAAAAACTGATGACCTGTTTTATAAATATGTTTTTTTAAAAGTTTATGTCTGTTCTATTTTACTATTTATAACAGACTAAGTCTGACTTAATATAGGCTAGGCCGGAGGTCCCTAAAATTGATCTAGCCCATTTACACCCCTAATTTCTAGCACACATGATTTGGGAGAAGAGAGGGACAGAGAAAATATGAAGAGAAAGGAGAAAAAGTAAAGGACGGCCACTGAATTAATTTCCGATTGATTTGGCCTTGTACAAACTTTACATTAAAGTAATATGTCTGTGCAGTGAAAAATACTTATTTTTATAAGTTTGATAGGCTAAAGTAATTAATAATAAATATGTTACCATATATATGACTCAAAACCTGATGTTATTAATTGTGTCTATTATTAATTAATTTAATCTAATTAACTTGTGTAAATTAACTAATTAAGTGTATACAAATATTTATCCCGTGCAACTTAATTTGTAAAACCTCTAATTGATTTTAGAAGTTTGAACTTTGAAGACTTGAAGGTTCATTTGTCTAACTCATGTTAAAAAAGGATATCTCTTGAGGAGTTGTTAATATCTAGACCTATCTTTTGGCCCAAATCAAATATTGCTAAGTGCAACAATCTAATTCCATTGGTCTATTCACTTAATCATAATTTTTTTATGAAAATTATTAAAATTTATTCAATGGGAAAACAATTTTTTCCCCACTTCTTTTCTACTTTATATAATTGATTTTAAATGTGTTCAGTTTAAATTCTTTTGGTTCATTATAAATATATTAAGAAAATCATATGACACAAAAACTTATATTATTATTTATTAAAAAATGATGTAGTATCTTTTATAAATTAATTTGAACTACTTAACTTGTTGAAGCCCGACTCAGTTATTTACCCGGTTGATGTACTGGGTTACTAGTTCAACCAATGAATCACTGATTCAATTACATGATCCGATAAGTATACGTAAATCTAAAATTTATATTAAGAAACTATAAATATACTCAAATAATCAAATATTTTAATATGAAAAATAATAAATTACACATTATTTTCTAACAAAAGATCAATCAAAAATATAAAATTGAAAACTAGTGCTGAAGCCTGTAATCAGATCTGTTATGTCGGCCGAGTTAATAAAAAACCCATTAACCCGCGAGCTAGTAGCAGTCCGGTCAACAACAATCAAAGTAAGCAAGCACAACAATATTTGATGACCAAAGTTGTTCGTCTGGGGTTTATAAAGCATATTCCAGATTATAATATAGGCAATGTGGAACTTCTAATATGAAAATTGGATCAGTTATATAACTGGTTCATCAATTTCCAGATCAACGCGACCGGGTCGATCCTGTTTTTATAACATTGCAAATACGTGTCCCTTACAACTTGTTCCGTAAAATATATGGTTTTAGTTAGAAGTGACAAAATGGATTGGCTCACCCTGCCTCTTGAACGTGGGTTGGCAGGTCAACTAGCTAAATAATAAAAAATAAATTATATTTTATAAATTTTATAGTATTACTTATTTTTATTTCACACTCTTCTTAGTTTTTTTTTCAATCTCAAGCCTAAATATATGTTAATATTCACTCAGTCATTCTTTAGAAACATATTTTTGTTTCTATATATAGATAACCTTTGTCGTAAATATTTCTATTTTTTAATTTTTTTTGGGAGTACTAAGAAACTTTTTTTGGATATAACAAAAGTTTAGTGACAAATAAAATATTACTCAATAAAAAAAAATGACCCAACATGTCAACCTGCACCGATCCGTCGCCAACTCATTTTAGCCCGCAACCAAATGAAATGGGTCAAGACGTGTAACCTAGCCCATCGCATTTTAATGAATTGGCGGATTGACATATAAGATTCAATCCATATTTCCATTTCTAATTTTAGTCTTTTAGACTTTGAATACTTGAAAGGCTGAATGGCCTAAAGTGGAAAAAGGACTAGCCTCGATATCTCGTAAGAAGTTGCTGATAGCCTTATCTGTCTTTCGGGCCCAAATAGTATATTATCAAGCCCAACAAATTTTATTGGTCTATTCATCTTGCCACGGATTACTATCTCAGCCGTGTATCTTTTAAGAAATCAATGGTTTATATTTATTCCACAGGGGCAACAATTTTTCAAGATTATATAAATTTTACTGGGAACACAAATTTTCACTTCCCGCTTCTTCCCAACACTGAATAAATCCCAAGCTTAGAGAAATTTGAAAGCCACACGTCCCAAATCATAATTTGGTGAACATTTGTTGACTATAATAATGGCACGTACCAAGCAAACTGCACGCAAGTCCACCGGAGGGAAAGCGCCGAGGAAGCAGTTAGCGACCAAAGCTGCAAGAAAATCAGCTCCGGCGACCGGAGGTGTGAAAAAGCCACATCGGTTCAGGCCAGGGACGGTGGCTCTGAGGGAGATAAGGAAGTACCAGAAGAGCACGGAGCTGTTGATACGAAAGCTTCCATTTCAGCGTCTGGTGAGAGAGATAGCGCAGGATTTCAAGACGGATCTAAGGTTTCAGAGCAGTGCCGTATCTGCATTGCAGGAAGCAGCAGAGGCTTATTTGGTTGGTCTATTCGAGGACACAAACCTCTGTGCTATTCACGCAAAGCGAGTCACCATTATGCCGAAGGATATTCAACTCGCTCGTAGAATTCGTGGCGAGAGAGCTTGAATCTTCAAATGTTCTTCACCACTATGATGTGATACTAGTTGTAATTCTTTTCCATTTTCACTTTGCTATATATATATATGTGCTCTTAATTTTTTTTTTGAATGAGTTATAAATTCAGTAGCTAACAATCGTATCTTATCGTATCGTATCCGTTTTTTATTTTGATCTCCTATTCTTATTGTTATGCTCAATTTTATTTTATTGAATTTTTCTTGTTATAAAATTTCGTATATTGGTGTTGAATGTTACCTTCGGTTTCTATTTATGTGGGATTTTGATTGTATAGGGAATTAAAGCATGAAATTGATATGCTAACTTATGAATCGCGTGGCATTGAATTCATTGTGCCTAACGGATAACTTTATGAACAAAATTTTAAGATTTCAATTTCAAATGAATCAAATATTTCATTAAGTAGACAGAGAACGAAATTTAAAAGTAAAAAAAATAAAAAAAATAAAAAATTGTAGTTGGTGATTATAGATAGGGTTGTAAAATGGAGTGATTGATAAGTAGGATCGTACACAGAGAGCGGCCGAGCTGGTAAACGCCTTCATCTGTTTGTATAATCGTACATTTGAAGATATTAAGCAGTGAGTCGGCAATGGAGAACAGAGCAAGAGGTTTCTGAAGGCTTTTAATTCTTCTTTTCTCGTTTCCAATGTTATTTGTTTTCCTTGAATTTTTTGCCGATGGATTTTTCTTTGATCTTGTTTCTACAATTTCTTTATTGTATGTATAAGTCGATGATTATCAAGCATGTATTTGTATTGCTTTGAAAAAATTCATGTAAAAAATTGGATGATGAGAGTGAGTTTTGTTTTATATTCTTTTGTTTCTTGTTTATGGGTAGATAAGGAAGGAAATTGCTTAAAACAAACAAAAGAAAGTCCTTTGCGTCATAAGCTAATCACTTCTCACAAAATAATTAGTTTTGTTTGAATTATATTAAAAAAATTGCTTTATGTAAATTGCGAAAATGGCGATGGAATGATTTGAAAGATTATTTGCCGGAGGGAAGATGATTATTTTTTTTTCTCTCCAAGGACTATAATAATCTTTTAGCGAGAACAAAGAATCAAAATGCTGAAAATTGAGCATACTGAAAAAAATCTATTAAAATACTCAGAGTGTAAAAAGCTCTCAGATTGAGTCCGATCGATAAATCAAAATAAAAAACAAGATGTTTTGTTTTGGAAAATATTTCAAGAAAATTAAACTCACGTAAGTTACTTTCCTTTTTCTCAAAGATCTCTTAAATTTATTTATTTATTTTTGTATTAGTTCTCTTAAAATTTTGATTTTGCCGATGGTTAACCTTGCTTTTTTTGACTGATTATACTTGATTTTTTGGGCTACCTCTCCCGTTTGATTAATCTTTTCATGCGGGTTTAGACTTTATAGATCTTAAATGCACATAATTTGTGTTCACTTTCATGTTGCTCATAGGGAAAGGCAAAGTGAAGGAGGGGACATGGCAAGGCAACCGTCAAGTTCTTGGAGACATTGGTAATGTGGAGGTGCTTAGAATCGCTGATGGGAAGCAGATTTCACGGCCCATCACAAGGTTCTCTATTTTTATTTTTGTTGCTAACAAGTAGATTGCTTTGTCTCTTCTGCTTGCTTTTTATTAACCATGCTTGTTTATTGCTTGTAGGAGTTTCCATGCAAAATTGTTGGCAGAAGGACACAAAACTCCGGCTGTCCGTTGCTATCTTTATTTGGCTATGCACTTGGATTAAACATCTACCTATGTGTCAGGTTTTTAGTGAATGTGTGGCTGTTGATTTGCAGGATTGGGTACTGGGATTAGAAGTTCAAACTAACGAGCAAGCACCTGCACAAGGAAAGAAAGTACAGTATCGTACATTTTCTTATCTTATTTAATGATGCATTGTATTTGTGTAATCCTTCTGTTTGACTTAATGCACCTTCAACCGCCTAATGTCTAATGTTTATTTTCAGAAGGTTATTGTACCTGTACTAGACAATAAAGCAATTGCTTACGAGGGTGTAGAAGATTTGACTCACAAGCCAAATCCTGAGCCCGTAGATGTGGTTAGTTCTGAAGCTGGAGAAAAAATTGATTTTGTTCTTGAAAGAAAGTCCAGGGAAAGATCTTCTAAGAAGGTCAAGAGTCTGACTTCACAAATTATTACCCAAAGCAAGGTGGTTCAAGTTTGTTTATGTCATACATAGTTTTACACAACTTCATCCCCAGCCTGGTTTTCCTGATTGTTGATTTTCTATATTTGAGGGAGTTTTTTTCATACAGGCTGCTTGTGGAATTTTGATTGTGGCTGAGGATCAGCAGCCTGTTGATGTTGATGCAGATGTTGCTAATGATGAACTTGCAGTAGTTGAATACATTGACGATATATACAAATTCTATAAGCTAACAGAAGTATACCAATTAGCCTCATATCTTATGCCTTACATTGCTCTCTCTTTTTTCTTTCACTAATGGAATTTGTGATGTAGGATGAGATTCGACTATCAGATTACATGAAATCACAGCATGAAATTACTGAGAAGATGAGGTCTATTATTGTGGACTGGCTGGTTGAAGTCCATATGAGATTTGAATTAATGCCTGAGACACTCTATCTTACCATAAATATAATTGATCGATACCTCTCATTGACAGTTGTACCAAAAAATCAATTACAGTTAGTGGGCATAAGCTCAATGCTCATAGCTTGCAAATATGAAAAGATATGCACTCCTCGGGTAGCACTACTTTCATGGGGTAACACATATTGTGAACTTTTCTGCTATTATTTCTAAATTCCTTCTTGGTTGTTGGAATCGCAGGTTAATGACTTTATTAGCATATCAGATAATGCTTACACCAAGAATCAGATAATTTCAATGGAGACAGAAATTCTAGAGAAGTTAGAATGGTATTTAACTGTTCCCACGCCCTATGTGTTTTTAGTTAGACTCATCAGAGCTTCTGTTCCGCCAGATCAGGAGGTAATATATATAGTTATATTGTTAACTATAGGGTTTCAAGTAACATTTTAAATTATTGATTGTAGCACACAGCCTTTATTTACTTTCATTTCTTTAGACTTTATTATGGACTTTGTGTAGATGGAGAACATGGTGTTTTTCCTTGCTGAACTTGGTCTTGTGCATTATCAAGCCATTATTTTGTACTGCCCTTCATTGATTGCTGCGGCAGCCGTGTATGCTGCTCGTTGTACACTCAAAAGGTGTCCCTTCTGGAGTGAAATTCTAAAGAACCTAGCCGGCTACTGCACGGAACAGATAATGTATTTTCAGTTTGTTAACTCTGTTTCTAGTGTTCAATGTGAAATTAGGTTTTTGGGGGGTCTAAATTATGTATATATATACTGATTAAATTGCTCTCTCTTTTTTTGTTGTTTTGTAATCAGAGATTGTGCCATGCTGTTAGTTAGCTTACACGCAAGAGCTGCAGATAGTAAACTCCAAGCAGTGTACCAGAAATTCTTAAGTCTAGACAGAGGGGCTGTTTCTCTTTTATCTCCAACAGAAGATATAGTAAAAAATTCCTAGTGGCTTGATCCTTCATTGTTTGATTTTTGGATTATCTTGCTTTTCGACCTTCAAATTTGATTACTGAAGGGAGAATTTGATTTGGCTTTGAGATGAATATATAATAATACCGGATTGTGAACAGGAAATTTTGAAATACTTTTAAATAATATCTTCCTTTTTTTACTTCTATAATTCTATTGTAGTATTAATAACCATTAAGGATTTAGTATTAACATAGTTTTGTGTATGTTTATGATGAGAAAAATATTGAATGGTGTCCAAACATCATCACTGAAGATATCGCACCGGAAGCCATATGAATACTGGGTCATTAGTATATTTGTGAATAATTAGGCGATTGAATGGCCTTAGTATATGATAATAGTGATCATCAATATGCTATATACATTTTTTTTTTGGGGTGTTTAGACTGGAAAGTATGATTAATTTGTTGATTAGGAGATACTATTGAAGCTTAAGCTTTTTGATTAGGAGATACTATTTGTTCTGTCCTTGAGACAGAGATGTTCAGCCCAATAGGCTAGTGCATTTATTTTGGATCTAGTGCCCTTTCCAAGGTCTCTATGAATGAGATACCCTTGAGTCAAACAGATCACTGTGCACGGAATACTATAATGGCGTTAGCCAATGGGGTGTGTGTGTGCGCACAGTAAGAGAGAGAGAGCGTAACGTACTTTTAGGGTTTACCTTGTATTTATAGAAGTTACCTGTGGGTAGTGTGAATGGGCCTTTGGTGCCTCTGGTGAGGGCCCAGACCTGTTTGCTATGCTGTTGTATTAGGATTAGTATCCTTGATGGATATCTATCCTTTGTTAATATCAATCAGTATCTTAGATTGCCTTTTGTTGAGCTTACCACTTAATGGATCCACGAGTGCATAACACTGTTGAAGCTTAAGCTTCGTAGAAACCAATCCATTTTATAAAGCGGCCCGAATTGGGTTGGTGTGAATGGACCAAAATGAAGTTGGATTAGGGTAGTTAAATAATTTTGTCCTAGCAAGAATCACTAGCTTGTAAATCGGAGTTCTGAAGCACTAAACTTCCCCCCAATCCCCATTACTTTAAGATGAGAACTAAAAAGCAAACTAACTGGATCTATTCATTGCAAGAGACTAGTTTGATTGAAAATAGTGAATCTATTGCTTGGAAGTTCCTGTATAGCAAACTAAGCTCTAATGATCGCACTGACCTCAATCAACCACTATAAGGTATAATGAAGATGCCCATTTACTATTTATTAAGGGAGAGGTGTCAATTAGTCGTGCATCGTGCTTGGGGACTGATAGTTGGGGTCAGAATTGAACCCTCCTTGTCTAGGTTTGAGGTTGCATTAAGTTGGACTCTATACATATAATCTACAAAAGTCGATGAAATCCTGGTAATCGATATGTAGTTGTTAAGGCCTTCCAGCTGAAGTATAGCATTTGATTTGATTAGCCAAAATTTCTAAACCCCACTCTTGGAACTAATTGTTTTCATCTTTTTAATGATTAGTTCTTCCATGATTAAGTTCTGTTACGTCATTAATCTCTGGAAAAATTCGTTTAGTATTCCTAGGCTGCAAACACAATAAGAAGCAACAAGTAGATTTCTCGTAGATTCAATTTTTCTAATTGGCTATATTAAGCTTTGTAGTCAATATTAACGAGTTTCTCTGTCATTCGGGCAAAGAAAAACCGTTCTAATTATATTATTGTATTGTAGAATCACATAGAACAATCATCTTTTTTTCTTTAAAAAGAAGATAGTAAGTAATTTCTATCTTGTTCAAAGCCAGTTAACTACTGAGCAGAAAATTTCTTGCTAATTATTTTCTTAACGTACATTGTCCAGACCCAAAACTACAAGAAAGACAAACAAAATTCATATTTCTCAAAACTTCCAAGTAATTAATTCTATATGCATTATTATTATGCTTTCCTGTGGACAAGCTAATGAAGCAAAACAATCTTGTACCTCCCTAAATGCATGAAGTCTGCAGCAATGTATATTATGTACAGCAACAAAAAACAATAACACACCCTTAATTTTATAACTCTTCATTTGATATACAACTACTTATATATATCATACCCAGTTGCTGGACAAGGAGAAGTCATGGAATCTGAATGAGAGTTCTCCAGCTGTGTCTCTCTCAAGCTTGGACTGTGGAAGTTCACTGGTGATATCACTTTGATCAGAAGCTTCATTGGGCAATGGCAGTACATAACTTTTGTTCGAATGGCGTGCCAGTTGAACATCAGATGGTAATGGCAACACAGGAGGAGACAAAGGCCTAAATCTAGAGCTTCCTCCACTTGAAGAAGCCAATGTTTGGTCCCAAAGGAAGACATGCAGGAGAATGGGAACTCTGGTGTGTCGGTGCAATGAGAGCTTCTGGCTGAGTGAGACAGTGTCATAACACCGAATGGCCCCTGTGGAAGAGACCATCCATGGAAGGACTTTTTGATTTGAGACTCTTGAAACTACCAACAACCTAGAAGTATCTGTTGCTAGTTTATACAGATTGCTGAGGCCTGACCGTGTAGCTGGTACATTTTCTTGATTAATAACTGATGAGATGAAAATAAATCCCTGTAGATCACAGAAAATTATTAGCTAAAATTTTAAACAAAATAACCTCTTTAACCATATATATATATATATGGAAAAACATTTGTCCTTTGCAAAGATATAACTTTGTGTCATTTTAAATACTAACCGTTAATTTTTGTCAATCAATAGTTATAATTTATTGCGAATTTCTAATTAATTAATATGTTTGACCCAATAAATTATAACAATTGATTGACAGGAATCAACGGTTATGATCTAAAATGACACAAAGTTATATCTTTTAAAAGGACAAATATTTTTTCTATATATATATATGGGTTAGGATCATTTTACACCAGTGTAAGTTACACTCTCAATCTTGTCCACTGATCTCACTTATATCTAAGGGCTCAAATTTTTTAGTAACGTGAGCCATTGGATATAAGTGGATCAATGGTCAAGATTGAGTGTAAGACTTGTAACTCTTACACCGGTGTAAGAATATCTTGCCCCTATATATATATATATATATATATATATATATATATACACATAAGCTGATGCATGATCAAGAGAGAGACCTCTTCTGTACGACTAATGGCAAACCCAAGCTTTTCATCATCCTCTTTTAGTTTAATCTCAATAGAGAACTCTCCTCCAACAGGAGCATACCATAAGCGAACTGCACGTACAACACCAATGTCTATTCCATGGTAATCTTCAAAACCGTAAAGGCTTACATTTGCCAGGTTAGATAAGTCAGATAATGATCCTGCATTCACAGTCGAAGAAGCTGTCTCTCCAGATATCTGTCACACAAATAAGAGAGAATTTCCACACGTTACACTGTATAATAAAAACCAGCAAAAAATAGAACAATTCTCTGAAGGAAAAAATGAAGATAGTCGAAGTTTCGTTGTTTACAAGTATACAAGACAGTGAACAAATCCTAAGTTGTGTTTTCCAATTTCTTAAGATATATTGTGAGAAGATAACAAAAATTATAACCAACACCTAAATAAATCATTTATGAACCTTTATAATAGTATTCCTTCCTTTGAAATGGGAACTTAGATCATTGAGAAACAAACATCAAGGAATGTTAAGAACCAATTGAAGCCTAGACAATACATAAGCCCAACTATCTTGTCCTGAGACAGAGAAGCTTTTATATCATGTTATGAACCAATTTTCCCCAAAGTTTGAGGTGTTAAGTTAAAAGCTTATGAATGCCACAACTAATTGTGCCTTATTGTGCATAGGGAGTGACCATTTACCTTAGTAAGTAGGGACTCAGTTTGGATATTCATAAAGACAATAGGGACCCCTGAAGCTTGACCTGCATTAAGCCATGCATTTGCACGGGCTAGGGTGTCCTCCAAATCATTGTAGCGAGAAGCTACTCGATCTGAAGCTTTGGGAAGAAGTAATATGGAAAGAAAGTTGCTAGAATTTGGAACTGATAGCATCTCCTGCATCCTCCTCTCCCACGGATACGAAACATATCCATCCTGTAGCTTGGTCCTGGTTAGTGCATTTACCATCCTAGTGCTCCTTGAAGCTGCAAATTTCAGTTATTGTTTACAGATTAGATACGGTATGAAAAAGTAGAAGAATAAAGAAAACTGCAACTTCCCAGAATAAATTAAGGTGAATGCAAGATGCATTGATTTTATTGTTGTTCTGAGATTGAGGGTCCTTAAGTTCATACAACCTTACAAGACAAGACATTGGAAATTTTTTTGAATACTTGGTGGCAATTTATTTCGAAGTAATAATAAAAACAGTTATTAATCAATTGCTTTGTCATATGTTAGGACTGGCATTTTTGCATTAGAACGGCAACAGACCAAAAATTATCAAGGTCCATTTCGGTTTAATATACAATTATACGTTGCACTATAGAGTAACATCAAACCGGTCATCGACTCGGTCGAAGTACTGGGTCAGTGGTTCAACCGGATTTCAAAATAATATATAATAAATATTAAATTATGAATATTATGTCCAACAAATAAAAGTGGTTTAGTGATGTAAAGAACTAATTTAACCCAAAAAATTAAACTGTTAGGTGAAGGCCTTTTTAATGGTTTATATTATACTCTAACACCCCTCTCACAAGAGAGCTCATTGGGCTTGAAATGTGGATGATGCATCAGGTCCAGCCTACCCGTACTAAGAAACTCCACAAAGAAAATGAGAGGCGGCGACCCGGCGAGGATCGAACTTGGGATACCGATGCTCTGATACCATATAAAGAACCACTTCAACCCAAGACTTAAGGTATTAAATGAGGACTTCTTTAATGTTTATATTATACTCTAACAAGTGATAAGCCTTTTGATCCTCAAACAAGGGAACTCAAATTTGAATCTTGTTGTTAGCAAAATCTAAATATTTTCTGTTCCTCATCATTCACGAGCATCAAGGACGAAGGTGACTCTTCAAAATGAATGTTAGAGAATAATATAAACTATTAAAAAGGCCCTCACCCAACACCTTAAGATTTTGGGTTGAAGTAGTTCTTTACATGGTATCAGAGTTTAAGTGACTACAAGGTCACAAATTCGATCCTGACTGCTCTCTGCTTGTAGAATCAATTAAGCATAAGGTAAACCAAAAATTGGGCCTATGCAATAATCCACGCGCATGTTAGAGAATAATATAAATCATTAAAAAGACCCTCACTCAACACCTTAAAATTTTGGGTTGAAATGGTTCTTTACAAGGAAGACACGAGCTTCACGCACCAGGGTGCTTGAATCTAACAAAGTTTGCAGTTTTCGGATGAGAGGTTCATGTCTCAAAATATCATACAAGTAGAATTTAGTCCAATAAAAGGAGGTGTCCCTTGGTCAACAATCAGTTCAATGTTCATCATAAAGTAAACTAAAAATAATAGAAAGAGATGCTACACTGCTCCTCACGTATGTGTCGGGGTTTAATAAAAGAACAAAGCTAAATGGTATGAATGTATTAAAAAAAATAATTGTTATTAGTTATGATAAATTTCTTTCAAAAAAAATCTAGTATCAAATAAAATACTGTGGTTTATATTATTCACATCCAAATATCAGGAGTTATAAGCCATAAATATTGATCTAATGTGAGGTTATAGCTTATAGGTGTGAACCTTACAGGAGTCCAGCCACAAAACCCTTAGGTAGTGTTTGGTTGAAGGTTTATTTTGGGATTGATGGAAAAGTGTAAGTGGATATTGGAAAATACCACGTTTGGTTCATGTTTTTTCAAAAAATACCAGGCAAATAGGATAGATAGGAAAATGACTTTTGTGTTGATTTTTGGATGAAATTCACTGTTACAGAATACCACTTGAGATGTGGTATTTTGAGATAACTGGAGAAGTGAAAAAACATGTGCAAAGTTTCACCCGAACATAGATTTTGCATATTTAAATAATTTCCCTGGTAATATTTGGGTCAACCAAACAACTTTTTTTACATTTTCCTACCAAACTCACTTTCCAACTATTTCCCTATCAATTACATTTCCCTAATAAAAAAAAATTTCTCCTGAACCAAACACTACTTAGGAGTTATAAAGTCAATAAAGTGGTATATTGCTACTAATATTTAGTAATTAACAATTGCATTGCACGAAGGAATGGACCCATCAATTCATTGTCATTAAATACTGCAGAAAGAAAACCAGCTTCAAGCATATAATGTCTCACCTAATTAAGCAAATCAAAAAAATAATATTATATTAATTTTTATGGTTATAATTTATTAAAAATTAATAATTAATTAATAAATATGATCCAATAAATAATAATAAATAAATTCACAAAATTAACATTGAAATTTGATGTTAAAAAACCCGGTCCACACACACACATATATATATATGGATTAGGATCCTTCGACACCGGTGTCAAATTTGAAATTTAACAACTCATCTGAGAGCCATTAGATCAAAAAAAACCAACAACTCTGATTTCTAAACATGTGACACCATTGATCTTTTTTGATTTAATGACTCATTGATCTTTTTTGATTTAATGACTCTTAGATGAGGTGTCAAATTTTAAATTTGACACTAGTGTCAAATGATCTTACCTTATATATATATATATATATATATATATATATATTGGTAGGATCCTTTGACACCTCATCTAAGAGTCATTAGATCAAAAAATATCAACGACCTCTGAATTATAAGCATGTGACACCGTTGATCTTTTTTAATCTGATGGCTGTCAGATGAGTTGTCAAATTTGACACTGGTATCAAAGATGCTATATATATATATATATCCGGTTAAGGTAGCTGGTACAGAAACTGAATGGCACACGTGTGAAAGGAAGTTAAGTGGTAACGGGGGAATGGAAATTGGAAATGGCGGGGAAGAACTGTTCTAAATGCACTCAAACAAATTTATTTATTTTTAAATAAATAAATAAATAAAAAACACATAGTTGAAAGTTTTGAATCTTTTGATCAAAATTCAAAAGGAAAGTGTAAAAACAATGGAGTAGGTTGAGGTTGAGGTTGGTGTAAAGTAAAGAGTAAAGTACCTTGAAGGTCGAAGCATTCAGCTTCGGTTCGATCCAAAAACCCGACTATGTAATTCGGGTCACTAATGGATCGGAGGACGAATTGCTTCTTGGCGGTGGATTCGTTGGGCACAATACACATGTGCAACTCGGCCAACTCGTCGGGTCCTCGGCGGACCCGGACAACTATGGACGTCTCCTTCTTCTTATACGCGTCCTGAAGGATCTTCTGCACCCCACTCTTCCCACCCTTAAATGGCGATTTGAACCGGATCAGCGATTTCGCGGAGCTCCCGATTCGTAGCTCCTCGACGATGTCTCCGGTTTGGAGCATGTCTCCTGTCCATTCGTCTGCTTTGGAACTTCCTTTCAAGCATTCGATGGATAGCACTTTCGGATCTCGGGTCGGTGAATCGGAGCTGCTTTGTGATGACCTGTCCATTATCATGTTAACTTGACACACACTATGGCTGTGTTCTGTTACGTGTGATTATGATTAGCCACGGCTTTTATTACCTGCGCGCTAACAAAATCAAAACTAACTTACTTTGCAACGGAAATTCTGGATTTTTCTTTGAGAGAGGGGAGGGAGAGAAGGAAACAGAAATTTTGAGGGAGGTATTGGGCAACTACGAGCTAGTAGTGTCGTGTCTGTTATTATTAAGAAGCAGACAAAAAAAAAGAAAAGAATTTTAGAATGTAAAAGTCAAATGTAAAATAGTCTATTGAGGTTAGTAATGGGAACACAATTAAGTGATTTTTTCATTTTTGCATTGAAATATTAATAAAAATAATATCCAAGATCTACCCAGCCAGAAGCAATCTATGATTTGTCGAAAAGTATGATATAACGGAAAAATTTAATATCCACCGAGTTCAGTGTGATATTTGTACTTTTAGGAATATATAATATAAATATTAAATTATTATTATTATTTTCAGAAATTATTGACTTACATGAAAAAAGAAAAGAAATAAATTTAATATTTATACTACATATTTTTCAAAATATATAATACAATTATAAACGTTACGCTGAATATTCAGTACAACGGTTAGGGGTGTAAATGGGCTAGACTGGCCTACGACCTTGTCTATATTAGGTCAAGTTTGACCAATTACGTCTTACAGATACTCAAATAGAATAGGCCTAGCCTTTAAAAAAAAATCTATTTAGAAAATATGCTGTAAACTATTTTTTTGTACGGGCCTATAAGCTTATAGATCAGCCTATATTATATTATTTATATTTAATAAAATAATAATTTTAAATAATAAAATAATATTATTTTATTTATTTTTTAATTATTAAGTATTTAACAGGCTTAAATAGGTTAACAAGCCTAGACTAAGGATTTTATTTTTTAAATACAGGTCAGACCAGACTTATAATCTGGACTTACATAGGCTAAAAGGTTAAACCAATCCTAAGAGGTTGTTTTACACAAGTCTAACCTATTCAAGTTAAAGTTTAATTTAACCTAACCTATTTACACCCCAAACAATGATGATACCAAAAATACTTTCTCCACGGAGGATGGTGGATTTTGACCAACTTTCTTGTTGCCTCAAATCTTTTATATATTTGGTAGGTTATTCCCTAAAGAAAAAGATTCCTTCTATCATTCTATGTATATTATGTATAACCAATAAATAAAGCAGGGTTAATAACTAAGATTCCGTGCATATGTGAAAGAGCTATGCTTTTAACAGATAGAACAAAATTTAAATTAAAAAAAATGAGTTACAAAAAATTAATAACAATGATGTTCAAAATTTTATTTTTGAAAATTTTGAACATCATTGTTATTAATTTTTAAGGTTTTATTTTTTTTATATCATATAAAATAATTTTTTTCTCCTACTCTCATAATAAATGGTGGGACCCATTTTATTTTTTTATAAAAAGAAGAAGAAGAAAAACAGAGCAAAAAATCGAAGTGAGAGCAGGAGATAAAACTTCTCTTGTGTGACATAAGAGATATAAAACTCATTTTTTTATTACAATCTTGAAAAGGATAATTGTTAAAAGAGTAAATATCCTTTTTAGTCCCTGACAATATCCACGAAGCCCTTTTCAGTGCCTAACAATAAAAAAAGGACAAATTGGTCCCTGAAATAACAAAAAAGAGGCCACGTTCACCCTTCTGTTAACTCCCACCTAACAGCCCAACTAACGGTGCACAATTGGCACGTTAGTTTGCTGACGCGACTTGGATGTGGAACTCCGTGGAAGACGAGACGACGACATTTTAGTCCCTGTCAAAACCACGAGGGCCATTTTGGTCCCTGTCAAAATGCACGAGGACGTTTTTAGTCCCTGACAAAAAGTACGGGGCCCTTATCGGTCCCTAACCAGAGAAAAATAGACACATGACTTCATTGTTCACCTTATGCAGTCCAATTTTGCAAAACAGAAGTGCATTACATCAGAAACAGGAGTGCAATCCAATTTTGCAAAATAGGAACATGACATTAAATTGGATTTGTATCCAGTCCAATTTGTTAAACCAGAAGACATGGATGTACAAGAACTACAACTACGTATATTAGTTAAAAAACATCAAAAATGGTAAACTTAAACATTCATCAACCTTGTGAAATATAATAGCTGGAACATGATTTGAGTATCATTATATTTGAAGACATGGATGTACAGTAGTGCATTACAAAATAAAGCCAACTGTTAGGAATTAAAAGAAAGGCCTCTAATACAATATGGCCAGAATTTACAAAAAAAACATTGACATAATAAGGCCTCCAAATACATAATGGCTAGAATTTTCAAAAAAAGTCAGTCACATAATAATAAACCCTTCTCAGTTCGCTCATGCACTGCTCCCAGATCATATACAGCAGCAGGTCATTTTCTTGAGGCAGGCCTTGGTGGCCTAAAACCAGGTGTGCTCATGAAGACCAATAATCTGCTTCGTGTGCCACTGGTTGCTGCATTCATTGATTCATTACTCAACAACTCATTTGCCTGTTGTGGATTTGATGGAGGTGAGCTACTTCTTCTCAAGTTGCCTTCATGTGGATGAGAACTACCAACTGCTGCAGTCCAGTCAACTGCCATGCATTGCAATTATCAACAATCATTTACCTGGCTTCTTCTCTGATTTTTCTCTGTATTTAAATATCAACGATCATGTAATTATCTTTTATAGAAAAATAAATAGTATAATTGTAATGCTACACTACTGAAGATATTGTTCGTAAATCGCATAACGCTATGTCTTATACAGACTAAAAGAATTAAAACAGTTCACAGTATTCTAGGGATCGTAAAAGCTGTTTGCAAGAGCCAAGAATCCCTTTTAACAAAGTGGGAAGCTTAATTAGCATTGAAAAAGAAATGAATAATCATTAATAAGGTCGAAACTTCAGTTAGAAACACAAACTTCATTGAAATAAAATGCCAAGAAGGAGTATTTTACTTTGTGATGAAATTTAGTTTAATTACTTTGTGATGAACAAATGGATTGCACTCTTGTTTCTGATGTAATGCACTTCCGTTTTACAAAATTGGACTGCATTAGGTGAACAATGAAGTCATGTGCCTATTTTTCTCTGGTTAGGGACCAATAAGGACCCCGTGTTTTTTGTCAGGGACTAAAAACGTCCTCGTGCATTTTGACAGGGACCAAAATGGCCCTCGTGGTTTTGACAGGGACCAAAACATCGTTGTCTCGTCTTCCTCGGTGTCCCACATCCAAGCCGCGTCAGGAAACTAACATGCCAACTGTGCACCGTTTGTTGGGCCGTTAGGTGGGAGTTAACATAAGGATGAACGTGGCCTCTTTTTTGTTATTTCGGGGATCAATTTGTCCCTTTTTTATTGTTAGGGACTGAAAAAAACTTCGTGGATATTGCCAGGGACTAAAAAGGATATTTACTCTTGTTAAAATAGCTTCTTAGTCACGATAATAATTCTTAAAGAATTAGTTTTATAATAATATGTGAGAAAATTCTAATCAAAGACACTAAAAAAATACTATGTATAATAGAATAAAGTAAAAAAAAAAACTTATTATTTAATTTGTTTTTAAAATTTTATTTATTATACAAAATTTGCTAAAATAACTGCACACTTTTATTAATTTAACAAACAAATTGAATTTCCATACCCATTCAACTTTTATTAATTAAAGGAACAATTTGTAAATAGCTGCATGTTTGATTTAAATTTGGAAGATAAATATTTGTAAAAAAAATTTATTTTACAATAATTAGTTGTAAATTTTTTAACTTTTTTACACTATATGAAATACTTTTTTTTGAAGTATTACTTTTAATTTACGCCTACAAAAGTTAGATGAAAAATTTGAGTGATTAAAAAATAATTCTAATTAACACTTTTAGTATAATTTTTATATAATTGTTGTTATAGGTAAAACGGTGAAGGCCCAAAGCTGATTTTTTTTATAGACTTAAAGCTAACATTATCTATTAGAAAGTAGGGGCATGTTATATTTACAAACTTTTTTGTTTACAAACTCTTACAAATTACACTATGTAGGACCGGTCCTACATTAATCACACAGTGTACGACCGGTCTTACATTAGTGTAATTGCAAAAAAAAATTGTAAACGGATCCTGTCCCTAGAAAGTATATGTATATTGAAAAATAGCTCAATTAGGTTTTTATCCTTATACTTGTACTACGTATTTATATTATATAGGTCATTTTTTAAAATTTGTTCACTTTAACCATCAATTTACAATTTGAATACAGTGTTATGTTTTTATATTAGTTTTCATTCAATTTTTTTGGTGAAATCAAATTGTTTTATTATAATGGCATGTCTTTTTGTCAAATGATTATTGATGTGATAGTATTATATTACAAAAAAGAATTTAATGCAACACTTTGCTGTTTTAAATAATTACATGAATTAAAGTTTATTATAATCATAACTTTGGATGCAATTCATATTTTGAGATACTAAAATTAATAGATTAAAAATAAGGTCTAAAAAATTAAATTGAAAATTGAAAAATGGCTTATCTGATCAAACTAGTGTTGAGTATATTATATGAAGTTAGCTGTCATAATCTGGAAAATTAGATTGTGAATTCATGATTTTAGACTTCCAAGTTGATAGATTTTTTTTGGTTAAAATTGATGGCACTTGTTTATTAATGGTCATATATCATACGCTTCTGTCTCGCGTACGAGGTCCGAGTGTGGGACTTAGTCTTTTGAATTATTGCATTCAAAATCGAGGTTCATGTCCGCGTAATTTTCCATGAATGTCATTCATTATTCACAAAACACCTTATATAATAATCATGTAAAGTGAATATTAATTAGTTTTTTAGTTGAAATGAATTTGATTTAAAGTTGTAGCCAATTTTTTCATTCAAAGTTGGAGCTCGATCCGATTCTACAACCTATCATAAAACTTGACTCAAAACTTTCTCATTTCACAAATAGTTCTGTTTAAAATTGTACTCCTTTGAGTCCTTCCACTACTTCAAAGTTATGTTTCTTTTTCTCTTTTTGCTACCTGAGTTGTTAGTCCACTTTTTTTTTTTGGTAGGCTGTAGGGGATAGTCCACTTTAAAATACCCTGTATCGCACTGATTGACTTTATTTTCTTATAAAAAAAACGGAAAGTTATGTTTTTCTTTTGGATGTAGCCTGGGTTGTTGAATTTGATAACCTATCTTGGTTGAACATTCTACTCCACTTTATGAGAATTTAACAAAATTACCACAGTTTTTTATTTTAAAATTTTTGTTTGTAACTTTTCCAGTTATGTTGGAAAATGGCCATAGGAAGTGAATGATTAATACAAATTTCACTAAGAAAAGTTGATCATATAAAAGATATATCAATAAATAAAGATTGAAAAACTTAACTTTTCCACTTCTTTTTCAGTTTTATAAATAAGAAATCACAAATAGTTAGCAGTAATATAAAAGGCAAAAAAACGTTAGTATGCTTTTAAAATTGAATAGTTTATGCAAGTTTATAATTTTTCAAAGAACAATTATTAGTCCTCCCTCTTCAGATGAATTTCTTTGAGGAAATGATTTGGGATAATGGGAGGTTGACTCTAGAAAAAGGAATGACAGGCATTCCACAATGAATACAGTGTAAATTCGTAATTCGCACACAAAGAAAAGGCGTGTACATACGTGGACTGACTCTGACGTGACGGGACGGAAGCTTCTCAACACGTTGGCGGTTGGACCAAAAACAAATCAAGATTCCAAGGCGCAGCCCACGGGCTGAAGCTTGTTACGCGCAGCTCAATCATGATCCAAATATCTACATCATCTCTCGTATGCTTGAAGCATATCAGGGGACTCACCTCTATGTACATGATTATTTGTTTTAAATTTTTATTTTTTTATAGAAATATTTCAATCTATTCATTATTTCTAAACTAATTTTATTCGGTGCGAATTCAGGATTAAGACTTTAAACTCCTTCCAGAGATGGTACTGAAGAGATTTGAACACATGCTCTCACCTACTTACTTAATTCTCATGCGCCAACTGAGCTACCACCATTTGATTGTTTTAATTTTTTTTTTAAATGAAAGGTTTCCCTTTGAAGAATAAAGTGTAAAATTAATTAAAAAAAATTAAAAAGTTTTTTTTAGGCCGACCCTTTTTTTTGTTGGTTTAGGCTTACTTTATTTTGTCTTTATGTCAGGTCAGACTCAAGGTAGACACAATTTTAAGTTCCTAATAAAGGATTTGCAATGTGGTTGAAGTTCAAAGCGGTCTAATCCTGCTTTCTTCATTAGAGATATATAGTTAGGGAACTTTTAAATTGTTATGTTCAGCCTAAATAAGCAAAGATTGGGAGTGGATAAAAGTCGTGGTATGAAATTTAATGCAGTTATGTAGATGAGGCTCAGCAAAGGGAAAACATGGGCAAGTAGGGTTTGCAGTGTACTCTTTTACAGATCAGAAAAGAAATCTTTTATGCCAAGACAAGCTAAGTGGGATTTGAGTTGATAAGGTTGAGCAACAAAAGTTTGTGATTAAGTTCGTAGTTTTCTGGGTTGACTTAAGATTTAAGAATTAGGAAGTAACTATACTATTAATTTATTTGGACGGAGGGATCATAGGTTTTAAACCTTTCTTTTTCAATTAAAAAAAAAAAAAATTAGTAAGGCCAAGGCCTTTAAGAAAAATTGCAAACACAAAATGCTATAAATGCTATGACTCATTATGTCCTTTGCTTCTAATAAATAAATTCCCATAAAATTCATATATAAGACGTTCCCCCAGTAAATTAATAAATAAATAAATGTCTACGGCCAGATGTAGACAGCATGTGGTAGATTACTTTTGAGAATATGTTTAAAGTTTCATGCAAGATTCTTAGCTCTTTAATATAATTGAACATTAGGAATTCAGAGTAATGGTGGGGGATCATAATAACAGAGAAATAGAAAATTTTAGCAAAAGTGAATAAAATTTAGCGAATTTTAACTATATAGGTGACATGATTCAAGAATACTTGCTCTCATCATTGTAGCCATCTCTTATGTGCAGTCGCACTCTTAGCTTCATTAAGAGATCGTCTTCTGCTCTTTTTCAAGTCCCCACGAGGTAACAATTGCTTTTGGCACGAAGAAGAAGCTGCATTAGATTTCCTATTAGTTGTAACTTCTTTAAGAGGACTAACAGATTGAGATTTTGTGTGGCGTTCAAAGACTCTCCCTGAAGCACTGAAACATTTTACTGGCGTAGGTTTCTGATCGACTCTGGAAGTAGAACCCTGGTTCACATCAGCAGGAAGATCTTGTGCATTGTTAAGAGGAGAACTATCTGAATCAGAAGATGAGGGGCTAGTAGTGCTCTCCATATCATAAATGAGGTTCTCTCTCATTTGTGGGACCTGACCGCCATTTGAGTCACTGGCAGAAAAGGAAGGTCGACGAAGTCTTGAAAGCTGCACAACCTGCGGTCAATTGTGAAAGAGAGCAAATAAGAAACACTTCTTGTTTTCCACAGCTCCAAGAGCTTAGAGTAAAGTCATGTACTTATTGCATTATAATTCAAATTCCAGGGTTTTGCTTCTTATCATGCAATACATCCGTGTATATAATTAACAAACATATAGTCTGTCAATTAAATAGTACATCAAATATCTATATTCTACCTTTTGTTCTAGAACCACCAAGTCCTTCTTTAATTTTGAAATTGTCGTATTCTTCCTCCGCACAATGTCTTCTAATTCAGCAATCCTCTGTTGTAAAATGTAGTGGAAGTGATTAATGGATTAAACTAAGGGATAAAGATGTTGAAAATTCCAACCTCCAAGGAAAAAATGCAAATGACTAACTATTACCTTGTGATTTGCAACCTCAGAAGAGTTCAGAAGGATGGTTAGCTCCTTTATTGTGGTATCCTTCTCTTCACAGTCCCTCTTAAGATTATAAATATCTTGGTCTACAGCCAAGCTGTTTAGCTGTGGATTACACAAGGAATGACAAAGGCACCAAAAAAACTGGATTTGCAAAACTAAAAAATATACAAGAAAGCCAACAAGAACAAGCACTGCCACAAAGTGGAACAAAATAACATTATGATTTTGCAATTGCAATTAACCATGTCCTATAGAATAATAAAATTAAGCTATTTTTATTAATTATCCTGCTTCCAATTAAAGTCAAGGCCATGGAATGGCAAAAAGCAACAAAAATGTTTTATGAGTCATCATTCGTGAGAACCCCATTTGATCAAGTTATCTAGAGATTTTTATGTCAAGGTGACAGATATCAGATTACCAAAATCTCATAGCCTTAGAAAAACATATCAATAATTCGTTCAAAAGAATTGAAGAAGACCAACAAGAAACTAATTTTGTCAAAAAGAACTCCAAGAAGTTACTACTAATAGTGCTAGACGAGAAGCCTAAATTGCATATACTTAGCTAAAAAGTGAAACATTTGGAAAATTACATATCCTATGCAACCAGATGTGGATGTTACTCAAGGTGGTAAGATGAAATGTTGGTCCCTTTGCTCATTTAGGACCCTAACAAATATGACTGTGAAGAAAATAGTACCTGGATATCAGCAGCAGATGTGACACTTGAAGCCCAATCTGAAAAGTCAGACATTCTTCGCTCCTCTTGTTCTTCATTAGAGAAAAGCGTTTTATATTGGAGCACCTCATTTCCACTGGAGGCTCTCCTAACAGAGGCACCCTGCTAACGAATTCAATGAATGATCAAAGCCAAGTTATTCAATGGATTGATACATTGGGAAGATTCAGTTTTATAATTGCCCACCACTGAAAGAAAGCAATAATAGAACAATACATTGAGCACGAGTTCTTACCATCAATTCATTAAAGAAGCCACAGTGTTGCTCACAATGCCAACAACCACAGTCAAGAAACTTAATTTTCTTGGTTCCAAAAGTTTCATTCAATTGCAAATCTGTATCTTTGGCGGATGACTGGTTGATGGCAGCATTCGAGTGTTCCTTAGAACTGTTAAGCTGCTCGCATAGATTGTCAAGCTTCTGCTGCATGCTTGATAGCACCTGGTCCTGGAACAGAGTGATAAAATAATGAAATAAAACGATATTGATTCATAAGTGCAAAAAACTAGACAGGCAAACGAGTAAAGAATTTTAAACTTTCTTACAATATCATTCAATCCCATCACGAATAGCCCAAATTAATAAAACAAGTTTACCATTACTACAACTAACAAAAACTTTAAAGTGGCAGAATCAAATTTAAATTTCAAAAAAAAAAAAATTAAAAAAATAGTATTAAGCATTAATTCATATTGTATATATTGGATCTGGGTATTAATTCATTTGTTGAAAGCCGAAACCGTAACGGTCTTCCAATTTCTTAACAAACAAAGTGAATGCGAGCTACAACGGAGTCCCTTTAATAAATAGCGATAAAGCATGTAAGAGAAACAAATACTATCCACAACTACCAAAGAGGACCCCAGCTAAAGAGATTTAAGAGGTTCATTAAATTGAAAGTTCAAGCAAAAATTGAGCCCAATAAAGTTATTATTATTATTATTATTATATGCATTAAAATAATTAAAGAAGAAGAACGAAAAGCACATTAGGGGAACCCTACCCTTAGTTGAACGGATTTCTTAAAGTGCCGTATCTGGTGGTTTTTGTGGGACTCTGCAACGGCAACACCAATGACAGCGACTAATAGGAACCGTTGGATGGGAGTGAAGAGCTCCCAAGCCAGGGCTTGTTCTGCGCTTAAGCCGCCACCAATGGAGCGCGCGGAGCTCGCTTCTTCGGCGTTAACTAGCCGTCCCTGGAGGGATATCCACGCCATTGGCCTCTCCGACGACACCGGACGGCTCCGCTCCACGAAGGTGGCGGAGAGGCGCCGCCGGGAGGTAGAGAATGGAGCCAGAGATACAACACATGGTGGAGCTCCGTTAGCATCGACCATGGTACGATGCTGGTTCCTCAGTGAGAGCGTGATTGAGGGGACACGCAATGTTTCGGTACATTCAAATTCTTGGGTTTGAGGGGGGAAAAAACCAAAATACGCTATGCTATAACATGAATTTTGATATTTCTGAAGATTTAAAAAAAAATATTGAATTATAATATACAATTAAACATTAGTATACAAAAATGTTGTCTTCTTCAATGTATTAAAAAAGTGTTTAAAAGCGATTTTATTTTAAAACTAGTTATATTTATAAATTTTTTATTTACAAATTTGTTTATATATTCTGAAAAATATATTCCTCTATTTTTGTATTTCTTAATTGTAAAAATAACATTTCTCTTTATTTATTAAGTATTAAGCAGTAATTGCATATACTTTATTTATATAAAGTCATTTATCTTACAAAATATAAATATTTAATGATTATTGTTTTGCAATTAATTCTTGGGAAAAAGTATCTTATATTACTTTAGATAATTTTGTCTAATGTTCATCAAAATGACGTCATTTTGAGGTTGAAAAATTAAAAAATTAGAATGATAAAGACTATTATAACCTAAAATAAATTAAAATTATAAAAATACCATGATTTTCATCCCAAAATGACGTCGTTTTGATGAACATTAAATAAAATTATCTAAAGTAACTTTAGAAAACACAAACCCTTAATTCTTTTAGGGGGCGTTTGGTTCAGGAAATTTTTTTGGAATAATAGGGAAATAAGATAGATAGAGAAATGATTGGAAAGATAGATAAAGTGAGATAGGTAGAAAAATGTAAAAAAAAGTTGTTTGGTGGGGAAAAACTTTACTGGGAAAATTAAGCAACTTTATGAAATCAACCGTGCATTAAAAGTCATATAACCGATTTCCGAAAAATCCCACCTTCAAATTGGGTTTCTAAACAGTGCGGATATCTATGTTTCTCATAAATCCAGACAAATTGGATAGATAGGTTTTTGGTGAAAAACGTTGAAACAAACATGGTGTTTCTAAAAGCCATACTTGAGAAAGATAGATATCCGCTGAAAAGCTCCCAACCAAACACCACCTTACGGGAAAGTGTTTGTCATTTTAAATGACATAAAGTTGTGTCATTTTAAGAGAGATAGACACAGAATAAATTATTTATTTAAATTTTAAATTAAAAATAACCACTCACTTTCTCTCTCCCATGATTTTCATTTTCTGTGTCTATCTCTCTCTCCTAAAATGACATAATTTATGTCATTTAAAATGACAAACACCAACCCTTTCTTTTAACATGTATACATTTAGTATTTAAACCAGGTGGACCCTCAAATAATTTAAATTTTTACATTATTTCACATTCAACACTTATTTGAATAACTTTAAATTGTAGTATTAAATGCAAGAATACTAAATCCTCGCCCGTCAAAATTCCCATAATCAATTAAGGTTGATCATTCATTCAACATGAATTGTTTCAGTCCTTTCGAATATATATTTATATATTTATCCTAAGCTTTTCAATTATTATTTTTTTTAGAATAATATTTGTGTGGATTTTTTTAATATATATTATGCTGACTAAAAAAATAAACTAAATATATTATTTTTATACTAAATAACTATATAAATATTTATGCCAAGCGATAATATGTTTGTTGTTATTTTTTATTTTTTATTTTTTTGATAAGAGGAGGGAAAATGACCTATAACACAAAATTAGATAACAGAAATACGACGAGTTCTAAAAACAAAAAGCTAAGTCACCATGAAACAAAAGACCAATTCCAAGGGGAGAAGAATTAAAAATACACATATCTTCAGGTTCAACATTCACTAGAGGGAAATTTGCAAGTCAATCCGCACAAAAGATGTCTTCTTTATAGGTGTGCACCAGTTGAACTCTCTAATCATTTCTAATCCATCCCCGTATTCGAGAAACTAGATGAGTCCGCGGGCTGCATCACCAATTTTGGTGAGCAAAACAATTGTTGAAGTAGAATCACTCTCAACTATTAACTTCTCCAGCCTCCCAAGCCAGCTCCAACCCCTTGAGAATACCCCAAAGTTATGCAATTAAGGCATTGCATCTCCCAATTCTATATGCGAACCCTTTTAGCCGTTGACCAACTGCTTTTCTAAGGACACCACCACAAGTTGCCAGGCCCTGAATTCCTTTTGTTGCCCCATCAGTATTGACCTTAATCCAATCGTCCTTTGGCGGGTTCCAGCAAACAAAAATGTCTGAGTGGGTCAAACCAAAATGAAGATTGTTGTACATGTTAAAAGCATCTTGAATTTCACACACCTTTGTTGCCAGAGGGTTTTCTTTGTATTGTTGGTCATTCATTGAGCCACCATGGATCTTCTCAGTTCTCCACCTCCAAACAAGCCAACATGTTGCAAAAATAGTACACCAAGGAATGTTGTCTTTAAAATTGTTTACTTGCGAGATATTGCAATCTATCCACACCCATAGGTTAACAGAAAAAAATAAACTATGCAGGTTACTTGGAACCAAAGTTGTCGACACCCATGAATATACCTATAATCTTTTAATAAGTGGATACAAGTCTCGTTATGCTCCAAACAAATTGGGCAAGTTGGTGGCCCAATGTTAAAAGAGCTTAAGTAGTTTTTTTGTTGGAAACTTATGATGAAGCACTTTCCAAAAGGAACAACATGATAACTTGAGGGCTTTTTCACTTTTATATCTTCTTCCAAAAAGATGAGTTATCCCGATTGCCTTCTGTTCTTCTAGATAGAATATTATAGATGCCCTTAACAGAAACCTTTGATGCATCCTTGAGATTCTAATGCATATGGTCGACTCCATCATTGGGGTCAGGAGGTAAAATACTTCAGATCTTGAGCAATAAGTCCATTGGGAGCCACCTTGAAAGGTAGTTCACATTCCATTGTCCCTGGCTATCTAAATAGTCAATTAATTTTTTCCAGCTTCTTCCCAAGGAATTGGATTTACTGTTTTATCCATCAGCCTACCCACACTTTGCATCCAATTGTCTTTCCAAAAGCCAATGATGTTCCCATCACCAATTTTCCATATGAGATGGTCTTCTAATTTTTCCCACACCAAACATATGTATTTCCAAAACCTTGCATCATCATCTTTGCTTTTATTCCCATTCTCTGCCCACCATACTTAGCATGAAGAAGTTGAACACAAAACTCCTCTAGTTGAGTGAAAATAGCCCAAGCATATAAAATAATTCATTTATCATAGCAAATATAAATATTTAATAATTACTATTTTGCAATTAATTCTTTTAACATATATACATTTAACACTTATATAATAATTAGTATTTAAACCAGGTGGACCCTTAAATAATTCAATTTTTACATTATTTGACATTCAACACTTATTTGAATAACTTTAAATTCTAGTATTAAATGCAAGAATACTAAATCCTCACCTGTCAAATCCAACATGAATTGCTTCGGTCCTTTATATATTTACTAATAGCTAAAGTAAAAAAAAAAGATATTACCTAAGAAGTTACTAATAGCTCGCCCTATCTTTTGGGTCCAAATCATAAATTATCAAGCCCAACAAATTTGGTAAAAAAAATGTAAATATTACATTTTAAATAAAAAATATATGAAAACATTGCATTTTGGAACCTATTTACGAATCTATAGCAACCAATAGTGCCTAAAATAGTCACACCCAACAATAGGCGTGATAGAGGGCTTGGTCGTGCCTAGGGGTATAAATAGGTCAGACGGCCTAACAGATGCTTACGGCCCAGCTTACATTAGGTTAAACTCAGCCTATTACATATAGTCAAATAGAAAAGGCCCACATTTAAAAAAAAAAAAAAAAACCTATTTAGAAAGTATGTCATAAGCTTTCTTTTACATGTCAGGCGTATAAGTTACAGACCGGCCAATATCATATTATTTATTGAAAATAAAATAAAATAAAATATTATTTTAATGATTTTAAATAATAAAGTAATATTATTTTAATTATTGAATGTCTAATAGGTTTAAATAGGCCTAGGTAAAGGCTTTTGTTTTTTAAATATAGGTCAGGCCAGATTTTTAATTTAGGCCTACACAAGGCTAACAGACTAGGCCCAAATTATTTTACATAAGTTTAACCTATTTAAGTTAAAGCACAACCCAACTTATTTACACCCTTGCGCCCCATTTTGAGCGCGACCTAGCGCCTCTATATATACTCCCTTCACTTTTCCATTTCACTCCATGTCTCTAGTTTCTCTCTAAGATTTTGCTCTAACTTCTTTCTAGATTTCTCTCTAAGTTTTTTGCGCTGATAAGCTCTGTCGTTCAAGTAAGTCTTATATTTTCTTTCTATATTTTTAAATTACAATAATAGATATGTTATAATAGTGACCTGGGAAATTATTAGTTACTGATTTTATGAATAGTGGCCTAGGATATAATTAATTAATTATTGACATGGTTAGTGACTTATAGCATGCTTAGGGGCTTGGAACATAGTCAGTGACTTTTTTTTAGTATATAAACATAGTTAGTGACTTAAGTTCTGATTAGTGACTAATGACATTTTTAATGACTTATAATACATGCATAGTGATTTTATTCATACTTTAATAAATTTTATTATGCTTAGATACTTGTAATATGCCTATTGATTTTTTTCTTAGTTGGTAAATTTAATCATGTGTGGTGACTTATGACATAATAAATTTTATTTTGCTTAGTGATTTTACCTTAAAAATAATGAATTTTTTTTATGTGATTTAGTATATTTTTTAATCTTGTATTAGATATCTAAATTTTTTTAATTAAATAAGTTATAACATTATGTTTGTAAATTTTTATTATATTATTATGGCTGACTCCTCATCATCTGAGTCTCCTCAATTTGGACTCGATTGTGAGCAGAAGCTAAGCGATCTTACAAGTCATGCTTTTCTTGGACCTACGTTTGGGACGTACTTTGGTGGCGCACACAACATAAGCATGGTTGGAACGAAGAGAAATATTTTGGGTGCGATCGATTGCTACAGATTTATACTTAAGTTACAAAATGCAATATTTTAGTTTTTTTATTTAAAAATAATATTTAATTTTTTCCCCCAACAAATTTTAGGTTAAAGTCTTTTAACAATCAAATCCTATTGGTCTATTTGCTTTGTCTCGGAGTACAACCTCTTTGTCACGGATTACTATCTTATCTTAACCGTACATTTTTCAAGAATTCAATGGCTAATTAGTTGCTAACCAGTAACTTGTTTTGTCTTTTTGTTGCTTGTAGGAGTTTTCAAGCAAAATTGTTGGAAAATACTTCAGCTGTAACAATGTGTCCTTTGCTATCTTCATTTGGCTACACTCTTGAAATAAACATCTATCTATGTGTCGTTTTTAGTGAATTTGTGGCTGTTGATTTGCAAGACTGCTGCTTACTGATTAGAAGTCTAAACTAATAAGCAAGTAGCTACGCAAGGAAAGAAAGTACAGTATCATTTAGAAGACATTTTCTTATCTCATTTAATGATGCATTGTACTTGTGTAATCCTTCTGTTTGACTTAATGCACCTTCACAAATTAGTGCAAGGTGGTTCAAGTTTGTTTACAACATACATAATGATAGTTTTGCACAACTTCACTCACTCTTTGGTTTTCCTCCTTGTTGGTTTTCTATATTGAGTGAGTTTTCATACAGGATGTTTGTGGAATCTTGACTCTTGCCTGAGGATCAACCTGTTAACATTGATACAGATGTTGCTAATAATGATTATTATTAAATTTTTAAATTCTATATACAAAACTTGTGTGCTACCTTCCCTGGAGTTTTTAACATGATTTTTGAAAATTACTAAAAAAATGACATTCTTAACAAGTTGAGTTTATCAATATCATTGAACACATACATTGCTAACATGAATATTATGGAAATATCTTTAAATCACAAAAATCAATATGTAGTTATTGCAATTTGTAATACTGAATATTATTAACAATTCTGGTAAAATAGTCGGAAGAGTTATTGTAATTTATTCCTATTTAAGAATTATTGTAATAAATAATTTTATAATTCTAATTCTTTCGTTATTATGGTGAGTCCCCTATGAATACTTAGAGAAGGGAAATAGGAAGGAAAAGAAGAAGAAGATAATTAAAAAGGGAGATAATTGAACTTAAATGAAATTTAAATTTGAAAAAGAATTTAAGTGACATTTGAGAATGAATGTTTGTCATTATGGAGTTATGAAAAATTATTTGTTTGCGTTTACTTTTGGTAATGAAGTATTAAGGGGAATTCATCCTCTTATATATAGATTTCATACGATCTTATCCTTTTATATGTAAATTTCACATGATCTTATCATGTGTAAATTATCCATTCTCCACATGTAAAATAAATGAAATTGTAATAGATCATTTATTTAAAATTAAAATGACTAAAATGACTTACAAAAATCTACAATTACAAATATATCCTAAAAGTGATGGGAAAACATGTAACATGGAGGAAGAAAGTTCTAAATTATGAAGTTATATAGAATTTAGACATAGATATAAATATAATTTTAATTATGAAATATAATTATTTGAAAATATCTATTTTTTACATATATAGTTTTTGGGGAAACAGTTAACACATCTTATCAAAATAAGGAGAATTTTTTTTTTTCTATGGATTTCTAATCCCCCTTTCCCCTTGTATAACAATATCTTAGTGAGTTGGTACTGTGCCGTATTCCGTGCGCTATAAAGGAAGCTTAGAAGGAAGGGAAATATTGTTGGATTTATTTCATTGGATAGGAAGGTAGTTGCAAGTTGCAAGTTGCAGGGCACCTTATCCCTTCCCCATTTGAACCCGAAGCACTGAAAAAGACTGATTCTGTGAACAATAGTACATGCCAAAGACTTTACGTTTAGTAGCTAGGAAGGTCCCCACTGCGAAAAGGTTAAGCCCCTGCATGTCTCCGTGAGGCTCACTTGCTACAAATTTAATTTTTTTTTATTGTTTTCTACTTTCTAGCTTGCAGTAGGGTCCGTCTAATGCACCATTTCTATGAATAATAGCGTTGCTGCCATCTACCTTGGAGAATTAATTTCTTCACCGTTGCACTGAGTTTTCGGTAATATTTTCCTTACAATATGATATGTATTTTATTTTTGTCAAATCACTATTTTTCCTGATATTAAAATAAATAAATTATTTACTAATAATTTAATGAAAATAAAACATATATATATTGTGAATAGAAGTAACACCGAAAATTCAATACAATAATAGTAGCGAAGAAATTCTCCTACCTTGGACAACGATCCCACATTTATTTGACGTTTTAGGGTAACTTTTGCTGCATTCTGACATCATCTGTGACATGGCCTTCACTTAAATGGTTTTGGACCCCACAGTTGGCCCAATATGGATATTCTGACTCGTTCTGTCCATTGCCTCCAGCTGTGTTCTATCATAACTTTCTCTCTTAAAAGCACATGGAGTCTAACAGCCCAAAACCCATTTATCAATCAAATTGTTTTCTTCTCAACATTTATTATTATGACGGCAATTGAAGGGATAAACAAAGTGACTCACCTCAAAGTACTAGTTCTACAAGTTAAGCTAACGTGTACTCTCTGTTGCAATTCGGATCCACGTCATTGAAGTTATTATTCATTAGAGTTAGTGAATTCATATTGGGGATGGATAGCATCCAAAACAACAATCTTCACAACAACGCAGAGCCATTCATAAATGACTTGAGATAATGAACCCAAAAATGGAAAAGATAACCACCGAATTGGCTTTATCCAACACACCTAGATTTAGGAAAGAAAAAATTGAAAAAGGGGATGAGCTAAACAGTAAACCTCTCACATCGTATAACAAACAAAATCATACATTACCGCAATATTTTCGTCCCCTAAAATGGGGCCTTGAAATTTTGTACATAAATAGTTGCTCATGTGCATAAAAAGTCAACTTTTATAAAGGAATTTTCTCCTGCACCTCCCGTTGAAGAAGTGGCATATAAATTAAAAGACCTGCGGTTAAGAGGAGAGAAAAAAGAGAGTGGTGGGACCCAACTCTTTTTGTGTAGGAGAGTTGTTTATCTCATGTAAAATAAGATAAACATAACCCATAAATTAACCATTGTAAGTGCAGAAACAGAGAAAAGCTATTCTAGATTCTTGCTTCGTAACCAAACTATTACAAATCTGTACAAAGACTCTTGTATCTCCCTCTTTTCTGTTATTGTTCCAGCTTTTGTGAACACGTACACTTAGATTGACAATCCGAAAGCGTCTAGACAAAAGTATATATAGATAGATAGATGTGGGAAGAAAAATTAGTAATTGAATGGGTAATGATTCATAATAATAAATGGCATATTGATATTGTTGAGAATTGAGATAGGTCTGTTTTTTGGAATACCTGAACTTGCTTTTGAAGGTCTTTGATATAATCCACAGCCAAGTCCAACATGTCGGCTGTGTTTGTTTGCTGCAAAGGGAGATAAACAACATTGATGCCTCCACAATCCACACACACCGTAGCGTATGTACAACACAAGTTTAAAGGTCAAAGTTTTACCTTGTCCATGTTTGGGACGAGATCTTGTAGTTTCCTCATACGCTCACTAATTTTAGTTCTTCTAACCTTTAAGGCAATTTCCACAAAGATATCCATTAAAAAAAAACAAAAAACCTCCACTGTGGATATCAACCACTTGCACCTAGGGGTGTACAAAAGATAAAAAAAACTGAACTGAACTGCATTTAAACTAATTGGTTTTTAGAAACCAACTCAAGAATCAAATCAAACCGAACCGAGCCAAACCGGTTTCAAACTGAACCGAACCATTTTGTTATTTTATTTCTTTAATTTTTTTATTTTATCTTTTCAAAATAGATTTGACCCGAACTGTCTAAACCAATTTAGTTCAATCTCTTAAAAAAATTCAGTTCAGTTCCACCCATACACACCCCTACTTACACTAGTAATCATGCCTTAGAACCCAATAAATAACAATGTCAATTATTTGATGCTTTCCAATCAAGAAAAGTAATATAGGGAAATCCTTTTGTCTGCTTTAGAATCAATAATGCAGATACGAGTGACAAAAAAGAAAAAAAGGGGGTGGGAACATTTGGCTAGAATAAATTGTACCCTCTCTGCAATGCTTCTTGGGTGAGTGGCACAGCCCCGCTTGGCACGAATTTTGCACGGAACAGAATCTGGGAACTGCAGAAACTTCTCAATGGCTGCCATTTCAGCTGAAGTATTTGGCAAACTCAACTGATGAACCAAAGGAGCATGAGACTGTCCACCAGTTTCATTCTGATCAATGACAACAAAATCAAGCCAAATGACATTTCAGTGACAAATAACACATTAGATCAGATAGTATTATTCTACCTGAGTCTCGGCTGCATTTAAACCAGAAAATGGTTTTGCATCATTATCTCTAAATCTTTTTAGACCGCTAACATTGTCAGACATCACCGGAGAATCATCCCAGGGATCAACCGAGAAACCTGTCATAAAATCGTTACCATGGCTTTCAGCAAAAGCTTCACTGTCTTGATTATTTTCTCCATTGCCTAATTTGTCCCCAATGTCAGCTATTGAAGACATTCTCCCTGATGAGTAGTTTGGTGGGTTCTTCAACCTCTTTGCAGTAGAAAATTTTGATTCTTCAATAGGGTTATTAACAGCTCCTAAAGTTCCCATGCCACTCATACCAGCATAGCCTGCCATATAAGCTTGCATAGCGTCATTATGACAACCTATGAACCTATTCATGATATATATATAAAAGTGAAGCCCAATAATACCCTTGATTAAATCAAGCAACTAAGGTTTTTCTTTTTCATCACAAAGTTGATGTAACTACAAATAATTATCAGAAAATTTTAAAATTCGGTGACCACGTAGTAACAAAATATAAAAACCAAATCTCCACATACTAGTAAATGTTAAGACATTTATGCTACCCTAAAGAGTTCTTTAAAATAGGTAATCATGAAGTCACAAAAATCCCTCCAAGAAAATTAACTTTTTTTTTTTTTAAGCAGGACAAGGAACAATTTCTTGAAATTGGGCATGCCATTGTACCTTGTAACCAAAAGAAAATTTAAAAAAAAAAAATCAAGAAAAATAACAAAAATAAATAAATTGGACATAGGACATACCATTTTCAATGTTGATTTGGGAAAATAGTCCTGCTGGTGAACTACTATGCCTAATAAGATTAGAATTATTTCCAGTTCCACCACCAACCTTCATCTCCGGCAACCGATTAACTCCCATTGAATACGTTCCTTCAATATTTGCGGGAAGGCTTTGATTTGGCAAAGGTGGTCTCGATGAACTTTGGTAAAAATTATTGATATTGTTCTGCTGAAGAATCATGTGGTCACTGTTGATGGAGGGCATAGCCTCACCCTGCTGGTTAATCTCTTCCTTCACTGCAGAATCAGGTGGTGAGAGTTTTTGAGTGAGTGAATCTTCTTCAGCTGCTGCACCATCACTACCTAGACTATTCATAAAGCGTGAGAAAACTCGCTCTGTTTCAGGGCTCGATGGGCGATTAAAAATGTGCTCGTAGAACTCTCGGTCAATGATATCTGTAAAATACGAACTTGGTGCTGATCGGTACCGTGTCAAACCTGAAGAATTTATCTGCGGCTGTTGCTGAAGATCTGACTCCATTATTTTGCCAGCTTCAATATTCACCTCTCTATTCACTATTCACACGTGCTTGATATAGGAAAAGTACAAAACTTTCTTCTTTTGCGGATTTCCACTCAACTCTTATCAGATCAAATCATCTTCTTGAGCCTCCCTCTGTTGAGAATTTTTCTTCTTTGTCCAAACCTTCAAAAGCCTAAAAATTTATACACTTTACTCAGATCTATAGGTACCCAAATCAGGATAATTCAGTTGGACACTGAACTTTGAAGTGTGGTGCAGCTAGAGTGCATCAGAATCAGGAGAATATATATGTGTATATGAGTATATCGATATATGCAGCAGAGAAGGGAAGAGAATAAGATGACAAAAAAAAAAAAAAGAGTGGTAGGAAAAATATAACTTGTATTTTTCTTTCAATTACCAATAAAAGCCATAATAGCTAGTGTCAATGAGTTCACTTTTTCTGAAAGTGAAGCACTCAACTCATGGGAAGACTAGCTGCAAAATCAACAACTGTATTTTTTTTTTTTTTAATGAAATAAAAATGATACAGAGGTCTGTATGAACAGAAGAGCAAAAGACACACACCTATCTGCGCAACACCCTTTTTTGGCGTCCTTCTGTGTTGGGATTAGAAGTGGTGGAGATGCCTCTACTAGTTTGTCAAAGAGAAAGAAAGCAAAGGATTATTAAAAACAACAAAAAGAAAAATTTTCTTTATCTGGTTCTGCAGCCAATGAAAAGTAAAATAGCAATCAATGTTGGCTCTCTTATTTGGTATGTTTCCTGTTTCATTTTACTATAATGCCCTCTGTTTTATGATGAACCCAACTGAGAGGAAAGTGACGCTAAACTTAATCAGATTTTCAGAAGGCTAGGTTTTGATAAATTGGGGAGGAACGAGGTGAAATGAATTTATTGTTGGATGTCATATAGTCATATGATCTCATGCAGTTGATTTCAATTGTTAATAGATAAATTAACAATGCGAGAGAAATTGTTAGGATAAAAAATGAAAAATAAAATAAAATAATGATTAATTTATCTATGACATGCAACAGTAGATTATGTGACATAAGAGATTAATTCCATATCGAATACGTGCATCAAAATTGGATACAATTATACACACTGCTAATTCAGCTTGACGGATCATCTATGATTATTACTACGAGATGGTGGCATCATGTTCACCGAGTTCTTAAATCCAAAAAAAATGTACAAATTTGTGTAAATAATTAAGTAAAAGTATGATGATTTTAATATTCACTAATATATATATATATGGAAATTATTTTCTCATTTAATATGAGATAAAATAATTTTTCTACACATATATATTAAATAGTGAGATTCATTTATACTTTTTCTCTCTTCTATATCCTCTCTCCTCTCTCTTATATATTTAAGTATAAGAAAACAATTTACAAAAAAAAAAAGTATAAGAAAACAAATGATGGTAGTTTAACTGGTGCCAAGAACCTGAGCAGGCATGTGGAGGTCAGAGCATGTGTTAGATCATTCCAAGTTTTATCTTTATGAGAGGTTTAAAGCCTTAATCCCATGACCCATCCCAAATCGAACTAGTCATGAAGCGATGAACCGATTGAAATATTTCAAATATATATATATAGGGCTTATCGTTTCTCAAGCTGCTTGAGATAATCTTATCTTCGGCTACTAAATCATAACCGTACAAAGATGGATCAATAATGATAAAGGAAGAGAGAGAAAAAAGAAATCATAACCATTCAAAGGTGAATCAATTAATATAAGAAAATAAATAAATAAAACGACGTAGTTTTAGGGTAGTCAGAGATAAATTTATCTCAAGCAGTTTGAGAAATATTTTTCTCATATATATATATGAAAATGGTTTTATCTCATGTTAAATGAGATAAACAATTCCCATAATATATCAATTGATGTTAAAAAACTCTAACCGGTTTAACTAATTCACTTTTGGGTTGAAATCTGATCAGGAGTTGCAATGCTCAAGAATGAAATTCATTATTTTTTGGATTGATCAAATTCTAAATCTAAGTGACAACTAATGTAATGCCTGGGTACTTCAAAAATTAATAACTATCCCCACACATTAATACAAGACTTTTCAGCGTACTTTGTTCACACTCACACATACACTTCTTGGGAAAACTTCTCAGGAGGTCACCCATCACAGAATTATGACTAGTCAAGCACGCTTAACTATGGAGTTCTTCCGTTCCGGCTCTCGTTAGTGCCCGGGATGTTACATACCCACCAGCTTTCGCCTGGTTTATTCTCGAACCACACTGTATTGGAAGAGAGGCCACGTGCTTTGTCCTCACTCGCACACTTTTTGGAAAAACTTCCCAGGAGGTCACCCATCCCAGAATTACTACAAGTCAAGCACGCTTAATTATAGAGTTCTTCCGTTTCGGGCTACCGAAAAGTAGATGTATCTTGTTAGTATAGGTAGTACTAATTAATTTTTATAAGTTATCCCCAACTATACCGTCTCATACTAGCACAGTCTCTGGAATTTCTTTCTTTCGGGTGTTGATTCGATTCATTCATGTATCCCCGCCGCTGAAAGTCTGCCAAGAGCCGCTCATTGTATGTGCCCTTGCGCACCGACTATCACTCTCTGCCCTCGTGAGCGCCCAACCGAGATGTTACAACTAATAACTCTTGAGTTTGAGTTTTATGTATAGGAATTTTATCTTTGTAACACACCATTGTAATAGCAATAATAATATATTGCTTTGTGTTTAAATCCATGATGTTAATGTAAAATAAAACAAAATTGATAAGTTATGATTATAAATTAATTTTGTACTATTTTATAATTGTTTGGATGTAAAATGAAGTAAGTTAAAAGCGTATAATAAATGAAAGGAAATAATTTTTTTATGTTATAGGAGAAAAAGTATCTCATGTAGTAGAAATAAAATTGCAAGAGGGACACACAGGTAAGAGGAGAGAAAAAAATAGATATAGGACTCACTCCTCTTTTGTGTGTGTAAGAAATTGGCTTCTCTTATGTAACATAAGATTCATATAACCCATAAATGAATTGATGAATAATTGTTCAAAATAAAACAAAATGATACGAATGTGCAACTACAACTACAATGAGCATAGGTGGGAATTTTGGTCTTGGTGAAAGAAAAGGTAAATAAATTTTGTGACATTTGGAGAACCAGAGATGTGGAAGTCGTGTTAATCAATTATCTAATATTTTATACTAAAATATTTTTTTCTAATAATTATTTTAATTATTAGTTACATGAAATATGATTTTTATATTTTTAATTACTATTTTTGATATTTAATAAATTATTAAACAAATATTTTAAAAAAGATATATCAAAATCATTTTTTTTTGTATACGAACCTAATTACCTTTGAGATGAGTCGCCCTCAATATTCCCGCAAACTTTAACCCTTATTATACACATAAAGACGAATTGATTATGCATAAATGATCCACGTAAAATACAAATTTTTTTAGTAGGCAAATACAAATGTTTTTAAACTATCATGTTCTGCATCCAAAGTACCGCAAAAAGTATTTTAAGCCCAAAAGTTTTTTATACTTTGGGTACAGATCAGAGTTTAGAAAGGGTCAAGTGTAACTTTTAACCTGTTTCCCACTCAAACACCATTGTCCAAAAAATCCTAATATACTTATTAAATATTCTTTCGAATTAAATACATAAAGTCTTAAAATTCGTAATAAATGTCAGCAATATATACTAGATAACAAATCAAACAAACGAATTTCACAAATGATAAATATTTTATAAGTAAATTAGTATAAAAATACATCATTATTAAAAAGCATTTTAAAGGTTCAGGGTCCAACATAATTGGAAGTACATAGTAAGGAGAAAGTTCAACACAAAAAATATTGAGAGATTATTTTTGTTTGATTCTATGTTTTGATTTTGAAATGGAAAGGGCCTCCTCTTAATATATTTTTATAAAAAAAGACAAGCATATATATATATATATATATAAGGATTAGTGTTTATTTTTTAAAAGGATATAAAATTATATAAAATTATTATATTTTATAGTGAGAGAAACAGAGATTATGGTGAGAGAAAGTTGGAGATTTTTTTTCATTTAAATATTGAATAAAAAATTGTGATTTTAACTAAAATATCTGTTTTCCATATATATTGGTGAAAAAAAATAACAAATATATCAATATGCCGTTTTATATTGTATGAGATTAAAGTGGAAGAAAAAGCTGTTCCACACTCCGCTTGGAATAGGAGCATTAATATTTAAAAGGCATCACAATACATGTGATCAACCCCATCATCAAATTGTCTGTTTTGAAAAATAAAACTATACATGACAACCAAGAAATTGATTGAAGGCCACGCGGCGATTCTAAAGACAAGGGATATTGTTTTTTTTTTTTTTTGGAAACATGGGATATTGTTTTTAAATAGACCTATATATGTTTGATTGAATTATTTTTTAAAGTTACAGTTATTCCATGATATGAACTGAATTAAAATTATTATAGATGCCCAACTTAAATTGGAATTACATATATAATTACTCAACGAACACCATTTAATAATGTTAAGATTTAAATCAACATTTATATAATCACAGTGTTCATTGAATTGTTAAAAATACTAATTTAGAGTTTATTGATTTTAGTTGAAAAATATGGTGAATTGGTATTATTAAATTTTTTAATAGAATATAATATATCAAATAATAATCAACATAAAATTATAAGAAGATCATGCTATATATTTTACAAAATATATAAATAATAATAATTCATTCATAAGTCTTTATAAATTGATATTAGGACTTTATTTGTTTCAAAAAAGTTATTTTCGTATAAAAAAATTAATGTTTCTCATAATGTCTTACAAATACATAAAGTAGGGTTGTTAGCGGTCTGGATTGGACTGGTTTTAGAAGCAAAAATCATCCGATCTAATCCCTTCGGTTTGATCATGTAATCATCCATTCGGTTTAGATTTTTTTTTCAAATTTGATTCGATCCGATCCAATCCAATTTTTTTCAGTTGGATTGGATCAATTTTTGATTTTTTGAAAATCTTAAAATTTGTTTCATGAATATTGTGCAAATAACATCTTTTGTATAATACGCTTTGTAAATTCTTTTTTTGAAATACAAAAGTATCAGTAAACGATAATATAGCTTCTTTTTTTGGTAATGACATATGAAGCTCTACATAGATGAAATTTTGTTGATGAGACGTGACTAGGTTTTTCTTGAGTTTAGTTGATGGGTTAATGGGACTTGGGTTTAGAAATTTTTGGGCTATGATTGGAGAAAGACCTAAGTAGGTATAGAGAAATTAATATATTGGATTGGTTTGGATTGGATCGATTTTCATCAATGCATCCGAAAATCGATCCAATCCAATTAAAATTTGTAAGTTTTTTTTGATTCTCGATCTTTCGATTTATTCGGCTATCGATTTTTCGATTCGGTTATCGCGGTTTGAATCGGTTTGGATCGGTTGATGAACACCACTACATAAAAGTGTATGAGACCCCTATATAAAAAAAAAGAGAGAAAAAAAAATATGAGATACACATATTTTTATATAGATAGAAGATAAAATTATTTCGTATAACATAAAAATAATCCTATAAAAAAATAAAATCTCATTTCCATCGTTAATTCTTCAAAGTTTTCACGATTCCCTATTCATTCTTTTTTATTGAAGTTATC